AGTAGATCTCGTTCTCTGAATCTAGTTTATGGTGACTCACTTGCCACCAAACATGAAAAAACTGCTATCGAATAATTTGGCAACTTGAGCGATGTAAGTCTTGTTATAAATATACTAAGTGACATATAAATCCGAACACCCAGTTTAAATGGTTTTATTTTAATAAAATTTTGTATAAGTACTTAATGAAGCATAATAAGTAAATGATAAAAATTTCAAAATGATTGCACTGCTTTAAAGCCCTTTGACCTTTAATAATGAGTGGATGCACCCTGATGTGCTACGCATTCTCCAACGCGCCTAGGCATGCTTCTGATCAGGTGGTCAATGTCCTCCTGTGGTATCTCATTCCAGGCAACCACCAACTCCTCTCGAAGTGCTTCTAAAGTCTGAGGAGGACGTTGCAAATTGAGTAATCTCCTACCCCTCATATCCCACACGTGCTCAATTGGGGATAAGTCGGGAGATCTTGGTGGCCATGGTAATAATGTGACATCGTTATGTTGAAAGAAGTCTATTGTGACTCTTGCAACATGTGGTCGGGATTATCTTGTTGGAAAGTTGGATCAGCCAGGGTGTCAAGATAGGGTAAAAGATGGGGTTCTAGAACTTCGTGGATATAACGCTGCGCGTTCATGTTACCTCTGATGAAGATTAAAGGTGACCTGGAACCATAAGCTATAGCACCCCAAACCATAACTCCAACAGTGTGATGAACATGTCTTTCAACAAAAAACTGTGGATTCCTTCTTTCACCACGTCGCCTTCTAACCCTGGCACGACCATCGTGCATGCCTAAACAAAATCGAGACTCATCACTAAAGACAATACTGTTCCATTCCTGATCCCAGAGTGACCGTTGTCTGCACCACTCAAGGCGATTACGTCGGTGTTCTCGAGTTAAAGGGAGGACCCAGTGTGGCCGGTATGAAAACAAGCCAAAACTTCTCATTCGTCGGTAAACCCTTCGCATGCCAATAGGTCTTCCGTGTTCTGCAAACCATTCATTTGCAATGGACCTGGTAGTGGAGAAACGGTCCCTTAAGGCCAATAATCTTAGGCGGCGATCTTCACGGTCTGTTGTTCTACGGCGGCGTCCAGTGCCCCTTGCTCTTTGCGTACGGCTTTCTCGAAGCCATGCCTGACAACACCTAACCACAGTGTCTACACTTCTTTGCACTCTAACTGCAATTGCCCGAAAAGAAAGTCCAGCTTCCCGAAGTCCCACTATACGGCCCCAATCAAACTCACTAAGTTGACGAAATCGTACAGGTCTCCGTACTCTAAGCGTCGTAACCGATCGTAAAGGATGTCAAGAACCAAAATCCTCCAACGTTGATTCTTTACTGCGGCTGAAATATTCATTTTTAGAGCGTTAGTGAATTAAAAAAAAGCAGTATAAAAACCGGAATGTCCAACTGATAAGGCTGAAAATTTTTTCACTTGTTATTTACAGTAAGATAAATACATTCACCAACTTTTATTAAAATAAAACCATTTAAACTGGGTGTTCGGATTTATATGTCACTTAGTATAGTTTTAATTAAGTCTGTCTTGCTGTTTTGACGGAAATTAACAAAATTAAAGTAGCAGCTACATTGTTAGAAATTCTTGGGAATATTTCATGTAAATCATCAAAGCTGATTTCAAATACAAAAGCGTAACACAAGGTCTGGCTTCGGGATCAACGGTATCTTAATATTTATTTACTAGTAAGAGTTTTGGAACATTGCCAGAAGCAAACCGGTTTAGAGTAGTACATTTGTATTATAAATAAAGACTGAAACTGGCTAGCTTCCCGCTTAAACATACAAGGGGCACCAAACTCTTCAGAATGACACACTGCATATTTTGATCCCAGATTCATTCATATGAATAATAATAATTTATTGGTACTATTACACACAAATGTGTTTGCACGGGTCAATTAGAGTAGAACATAAAAGAGTAAGTAAAAACAACAAACAATACGAAAATAAGACAAACGTAAAACACAAAGTGGCAATAAAAGGTAAAAAAAACTTGATAAAACCTAGTTTAAAATTAAGTTGAACAATAAAATAAGATGGTTAAAAAATTATGAAGTAGTAATAGTTTTTTCATGTTTGTACTCAAAAGTCGTTACACACGTCTGGAGAACAATAAAATATAATACAAAAATATCACACACTCAAAGCACAAACGAAAACAAAGTAATAAAACAAATAGTCAACAATCATGGAACAAAGTCGATAAAATCATTATTTAAAAACTCATCTATGCTGTAAAAAGCTTTCGTCACTAGATATCTTCTCACAGTTGCTTTAAAAATGGTTGACTTGGGACTTTGACAAAACCTGGGCAGCGCGTTAAAAAATTTCACGCCGAAATAATGACTTCCGTGTCTAGTTTTGATAGTCTTGTGTACTCAGGTATTAATTCATTGTTGAACCTTGTGTTATATTTGTGAATCTCTTTCGGAGTTCTGTAATCTTCGTAATTATTTTTCACGTGGATCAGACATTCCACTATATATAATTTATGCATGGCACAGTTAAAATTTTTAGGTCGATAAATGTCGTCTTGCAACACTGTCTGAAATGTAAGTTTGCTATTATTCTCAAGCATTGTCTATGAACAGCAAACACCTTCGATACATGACATCAATGACCCCAAATCAGTATACAGTATTGCAAGTTAGATTGGAAGTAAGCATAATAGGCTGCCATTATGTTAGATAACTCCTTTGATAAAGAGGTGATGTGTGATTCCCAAGTTAAGCTTGCATCAATAATCACTCCAAGAGATTTCACGGGTTCTACTAAACTACTTATATGTGGACGAGTACTGAGTAGAAAAGATTGAGTCTTCGCTATGCTGATTGACAAACGCTTGGCATTAAACCGGTTTTGAATGTTGTTAAAATGCTGCTGAGAATCGAGTAATACATGGTCAAAGTTACTATTGATGTCGTGTCAAATAATATATAGATTGAGGCTACAGTCTGGCAGATCATTTATATAAATCAAAAAAAGAATCGCTCCCAAGACGCTTCCTTGGGGACTCCGTGCTTAATATGTACATTGTTAGATAAACAATTTTGAAAACTAACATACTGTCTTCTGTCTGATAAATAAGACGCAATTAAGGACAGGCTGTTATTACTAAAACCATATAGCGGCAACTTTTGAATCAAAATGTGATGTTGGACACAATCCAATGCTTTTGTAAGATCATAGAAGTTAGCGAGAGCAAACACGTTATCTTTCAGACATTTGGTGATGAAACTGATAAAATCGTTTATTGCTGCTTTCGTTGATCTGTTGGTACGATATCCAAACTGGTTGTTACAGAATAAATTGTTACCTTCGAAGTATTCACATATCTGATTCTTCAGAAGCATTTTGAAAATTTTTGGTATAATTGGTATTATAGAAATGGGTCTAAAATTACATGGATCATTCTCACATCCTTTCTTGAAGAATCTTTGCAAGTTTTAAAAAAAGACATTATTTTCTATACACAATTTTGTTATATGATATAATATCAAGTTATTTAAGGTCTTCATAATTTTAACGTCGATGTCATAAGGATCTTTACTTTTTGAATTCTTGAAGCTTTTGATTGCGTCTCGAACATCATTGAATGAAACAGTTCGAAAGTTGAATAAGCGACTATGGTTTCGAGGATCAAAGTAGATTTGAAAATATCTTGAAAAGTAGCCTACTGAATATAACGTAAGTGGGAGCAAAATCCAGTATTAATGTAACAGATTAAAAAATTATAAAAAACTTTTTCTCAGAAATTAAAATATTTGGAACAGTCTCCGTGTATCCTCAACATGTGTCACCCTGTGTATCGGTTAGTCACTTATGTCGCCCATTATTGTTTTATGGCAATTAACATGAATTGTGTTAGAAAAAAGCAATTTCGGAAACTTTTCGCATTAGTAAGTTGTTAACCCTGAACCTACGACGTCATTGCAATTTTTTTGTCGTGAAGATCCAAATGAAGAATTATTGGATACGTATCTCGTATCCTGTTGCGAATGGAAAAGCAAAAAATCCGTTTGCTTATTTTAAAAGCAAGTGAGTCGATAATTTATGATACTTTAGAGGGTGATTCCTTGTTAAAAAATATGAAAAAAGGTTATGTAAACATAGGTCTGGCAATGCAGAGTCAAGATACAAGGTGATAAATTTAATAAAAAAATTTTTTTGTTAATATCTTAAAAAATATTTCCTCGATTCTATTGAAACTTGGCAATATTATTTGTTGTATTAAGAGGTTAATTTTTGTTTTTTTCTCTTCTCGGGTACTTGTGATTTTTTTAGCCAAAATTTATAAAACAATTTTGCCCAGTGACATGCAATAAAGCGGTTTTTAATTTTTTTTTCTCGAAAACGAAGTGAGATACGAAAAAATACAAGAGGCAAGGAAGTTGTATTTTTAGATGCCTAATTAGACAAGAAATAATAAAGTTACAAAAAGGCAGTGTCGTACATGTTTTTGCCAATAATATTCGGTAAGGTGCCCCCCAGGACGCCACTAGAACCTAATAATTTCAATATATTAGCCTCTTCATACAACAAATGATATCATCAAATTTCAACAGAATCGATTAAATATTTTTTAAGAAAAATAAATATTTATCACCGTGTATCAAAACTCTGCATTTATGGACCCATGTTTATAGAAACTTTTTTTCATATTTTTTAACAAGGAATCTCTCTCTAAGATATCTTTGTCCATTTTTCGAACACCCTGTATATTAGTTACCCTGAAAATGTGTTTTAAAGCTAGTTTGAACTATCTCTGGGAGATATGGCATTACATCTTTGAGACCTTGGATTATTCTTACAACTGCTTCTGATATTGATAGAGAAATGGAGCGTTTTTGGACAGTTTTGAAGACCGAGGAATCCTAAGGAGAATACAACTACCCTTAGATATTGACATTTAACGAAAAAGATTCGACGTGCAATTTATAATATCCACTAATATCGTCCTCTTCGTTCCAGGACTGCTGGTGTGAAAGGAAGCATCAAAATCAACGGAAAGCCACGAGAAATCAAACTGTTCAACAAGCTTACTTCGTATATCATGCAAGAGGACTTGGTGCAACCTAGGCTGAGCGTAAGGGAAGCCATGGTTGTGGCTGCTAACCTGAAGCTAGGCTCCAAATGTGGAAAGAAGGAAAAAATGGCTGTGGTAAGTGCTTCATATCATTCAGCATGAAGTTTCCATTATCTTGTAAAATGTTGTTTTCCACGATTGGTTTTGACGTTTATCATTTGTATCCGTTTTTCAGCGGATACAGTTTTTTTTAAAAATATGTTGAATATTAGATCTGACACTCCATATGGCGTCGTAAAAGATTGGTCTATGATTTTCGCAGTATTTGGCATATTAGAGTGATCATGAATGACAAGATAGACATCTCGAAAGCCGTTCCATCGTGTTTGGGATCTTCTAAGAAAGTACGTAGTACAAGTGAATTACCTGCTCTGAATAAAATAGCAAACTAATTCAAAATACATCGTGTTTATAAATATTTCAAACTTTTAAAAGCAAATCTTTTTTATTAAAATTCAAGGGTATCTAACCGGACTAATCAGTCATTCAAAATGCATCAATTATGAGTGATTGAGTTAACTAACACAGAAAAAATCAAAATACTGCATTGTTGTTAATTGTTCTCCAATTGAGTATTGTTATAGTCTTACCATGACCTATAATCCGTGGCCTTATATTGTCCCATGCACGAGAGTGATTCGAAAAGATCTTGCCATAAATAGAAGGTAACAAAAAGACGTGCTTGACTCGACGCCAACAAAACTTCCGAAATGATCCTTGCCATCGTCCTGAAAATGTGTGCGCCGGAGCTTGCCCAGGCCCTTTGACGTATCTTTCACGTTTGATACGTCTTATATTTTATCTGTTAGAAAAAAAGATTTAGCAACTAGCAACTACATACAGGAGCTTTTTGTTGTTTGTAAAAAAGTGCTCAATTACCATTTTTAGTTCCCACGCCACTGGCGAGGAAATATTGTAAAATTTTCGAAAATGAGATATTATGCTTCTTGGATGTTATACGAGGGATTCTTTTAAGTTTTGCATACGGAAATAAAAAAACACGGTAGGTAGTTTTAAATGACTTTATTGTTTTTCGAAGTATTCTCCATGAAGATTAATACACATCTGCATGCGCTCGAACCAATTTTCGAAGCACTTATTCCACTCGTTTGCTGGCAGATCCAAAACGGCATTTTTGAATGCGTCAGCTGCTTCTTCTGGTGACTGGAACCTTTGACCACGCAGTCTGTTTTTATATTTCGGGAAAGTAAAGAAATCGTTAGGACTTAGATCGGGACTATATGGAGGATGGTCCAATAATTCCACGTTTTCTTCCGTTAAATACTGCCTTGTTTTTTGGGCTATGTGCGAGCTTGCATTGTCTTGGTGGAGGATGATTCTTCTTTCGCGGTTGATTTTTCGAAGTTCGGTGACGACTTTTAGCAAACAAATTACATTGCATGGGGGAACGGTAGCATCGTACCGCATGGAAGTCACACCCATGTCCACAACGAGGGGAACGGTAACTTCCTACCGCATGGCAGTCACGCCTGATATGGAAATATAATACCTCGCACGGGGGAACGGTATCTTCCTACCGCATTGAAGTCACGCCCGTGTCCATGATCAGGGGAACGGTAGCTTCCTACCGCATGGAAGGCACGCCTGATATGGAAATATAATACCTCGCACGGGGGAACGGTAGCTTCCTACCGCATTGAAGTCACGTCCGTGTCCATGATCAGGGGAACGGTAGCATCCTATCGCATGGAAGTCACACCCATGTCCATAACGAGGGGAACGGTAGCTTCCTACCGCATTGAAGTCACGCCCGTGTCCATGATCAGGGGAACGGTAGCTTCCTACCGCATGGAAGTCACGCCTGATATGGAAATATAATACCTCGCACGGGGGAACGGTAGCTTCCTACCGCATTGAAGTCACGTCCGTATCCATGATCAGGGGAACGGTAGCATCCTACCGCATGGAAGTCACACCCATGTCCATAACGAGGGGAACGGTAGCTTCCTACCGCATTGAAGTCACGCCCGTGTCCATGATCAGGGGAACGGTAGCTTCCTACCGCATAGAAGTCACGCCTAATATGGAAATATAATACCGCGCACGGGGGAACGGTAGCTTCCTACCGCATTGAAGTCACGTCCGTGTCCATGTTCAGGGGAACGGTAGCATCCTACCGCATGGAAGTCACACCCATGTCCATAACGAGGGGAACGGTAGCTTCCTACCGCATTGAAGTCACGCCCGTGTCCATGATCAGGGGAACGGTAGCTTCCTACCGCATGGAAGTCACGCCTGATATGGAAATATAATACCTCGCACGGGGGAACGGTAGCTTCCTACCCCATTGAAGTCAAGTCCGTGTCCATGATCAGGGGAACGGTAGCTTCCTACCGCATGGAAGTCACGCCTGATATGGAAATATAATACCTCGCACGGGGGAACGGTAGCTTCCTACCGCATTGAAGTCACGTCCGTGTCCATGATCAGGGGAACGGTAGCATCCTACCGCATGGAAGTCACACCCATGTCCATAACGAGGGGAACGGTAGCTTCCTACCGCATTGAAGTCACGCCCGTGTCCATGATCAGGGGAACGGTAGCTTCCTACCGCATGGAAGTCACGCCTGATATGGAAATATAATACCTCGCACGGGGGAACGGTAGCTTCCTACCGCATTGAAGTCACGTCCGTGTCCATGATCAGGGGAACGGTAGCATCCTACCGCATGGAAGTCACACCCATGTCCATAACGAGGGGAACGGTAGCTTCCTTACGCATTGAAGTCACGCCCGTGTCCATGATCAGGGGAACGGTAGCTTCCTACCGCATTGAAGTCACGCCCGTCTCCATGATCAGGGGAACGGTAGCTTCCTACCGCATGGAAGTCACGCCCGTATCAATACTCGGGGGAACTGTAGCTTAAGTAACAATCCCTATCCACATCTTGCCATGAGATACTTCCAGATTCCTGCGATTGCCTCGAGAAGAACCTAGGCGGTCACGCAGACCCAGGGTACCACGCCGGCCAATGGCCGTTGTGTCAATACCCAATACGCTCTGACATTTCTCCTGACAGAGGAAACCGAGGAGTAATTCCCCCGATGGCAATTCGGCTCTGTAAGTCTCATAACAGCCTCCAGGATATGGAGGCGTCACACCTCTGTAGATGTTTGACTCTAAGTTACCTTTAATTTTATCTTAACCGTTGATAAACGTATCTCATCTGACTAGTTTTGACTTATTACAATTATCATGATTATAAGGGTACCATGGTTAGAAAATAGACATGACATGCAGTACAGCAAAACAATAAAAGATACTCAGTGAAAACCCTCACCGTTTGATCGATCGAACCTTGACCTGAACTTGATATGGACACTATTCAACTTAAACCTTTCAACTGTTAGAACAATATTAGAATGAACTCAGCGTGCCCTTGGTTTCACGGATACGCAGGGTCGTAAGTGGTTGTTGAAATGTGTATGACAGCAGTACCTTTCTTAGCATTCCACGTGTCAAGCGATAATTTTACAGGGTGACTCACATGCAGTAAAGTGTCGAAAATATTGTGTATGCTTACACTGGATGTTGTTGTATGTGGTGCAACGGTTTTGCATTTGCTAATCTGAGGTTTGATGATACATTTAGACCTACCAAGACTGATCCGATTATCTCAAGCTGTTTTCGAGTAACTTAAGGTGAACTATCAAGGCGGACAAATTTAAACGGCCGTTAACATCGAAACAAACCACTTGCGAACCTATGTATATATGATTTTTTTCCTACTTTAGTATCGCCCTATAATTTTTCGGTCCAAAAGGCAGAAGATGTGAGGTTCAACTCCGCCAGTGATGCTTTTCCTTCCTTTTCTATTTTTCAAATCATTTACATGTCATATTCAATACCCTGCCCCAACAGAAAACATGTTCAATCTACGTGTAAGTTCAGTAAATACAATTTTTAGGAATCAAGACCAAAATCTATCTGTTTTGACAATACGGAATTTATACTCGTATGAACCAGTTTGGCGACATTCCGGTACCGTATTTTTCGCAATTTGCTTGAACGTTCATTCATAACACTAAATATAAGATCGATGATTTTAAAAGCCTCTACTCAATTTATGGTTATGGTGCTTTTACATCATATGAATACATAATTTACAACTGTCTGAATTAAAAAAAAAAACGAATACCAGTTTGGCCCTAGGCCTGGAATGCTTCTAAAACATATATTTTTTCCGCTATTTAAGACGAATCGACGTAGATACAGGGTTTGTCCGGAAAGTAATAGGACTGTGTCGATTTAAAAAAAATTATTGAGCCAATCGTTACAATTCTTTAAAAACTTTCAAAATAGGCTTCCTCTTCCCGGCCCTCCAAAAAGGCCTGGTGCTACCGAAACACACCACTTCTTGCTAAAGCAACACCTGGGTAAGCAGGCTTGATCATATCAAACGTCTCTGTCGCAGATTTACAGGAGTTTCACACAGAATTTAATCGCGTACCTCTGCTCTAACGAACGCTGCATTTTCGGCTTGCACCACTCACAGAAACACGTCTCGCGAAAATGCCTGTCCTGACTCTCCTGAAAATGCTTGTGATTTAATTCGCAGATACCAGAATTTTATTTTCAAAGCTTGTAAAAAGTCGTGGATTTGCCAAGCAAAATTTTGCATCAAGCGAACAAATGGGAATAATTTTGAACAGTTAACTTGATAATGATTTTTTTTAAATAACTTTCAATAATGTAAGCTAAGTAAGTAGTATTTGTAAAAATCGTATTAAGAGTATACCACTGGTTTCGCTCTCAGTATGAAAAACTGTTTACTAACCATAAGTTAAATAAAATAGTGAACGACCTCATTAGTGATTTCCGATATGCACTGTCCATAAAAACTAGAAAGAAATCAGTAATAGTATCATTATTTAGATTGCACGCGGTAGTGAATTTACTTACAATTATGCACACCTATTATAATATCTATGTTAAAAAACTAACGACCTAGTAAAGAAAAAACTTCAGATCATCGGAATAGAATAAGTTGATTGACCTCCGCTTATGAAACTACATGGATATTATTTACTTTCATTTACAGTTATTGCAATTATACTGCGTACACACATTATATGCTATGTATACGTTTATGTTAATTTCCTGTTAATGACTGACCGTAGATCACAATTTCTGTCCAGTTTTTGCATAAAACCTTCAAAATAATGAAGAATGTAGAATCGTTTTTAATTTGTTGCAATTTAAGCTCTAGTAAATAACAAAAGAATTCTCAGAAATCTTCATGCTTTTACACGTATCAGAAGAAAACTTTCACTAATCTAGGGAAACATCTTAAAAGAATGTTTTGACGGTATAAATCCTATTTCCATCGAGTGGCCCAAATCCTGCTACAGTTCACAGATATAATAGTAATTAGCAATATAAATAAAAACTTAGGAGGCTGTATTCGATCAAACACATTTATTTTTGGGCTGTAGAACAAGTTTTAACAGAGCCTTTATACTTCAATAAGTGGAGGGTCAGTATAGTATTTCTGTGGTGATTGATATAGGGAAATTATTATTTTTATAAGCTCTGGTTGAACACAAAAAAGCAACAAATAACTGCTATTTTCAGATCTTGGGTAGTATCTAACTGGATTATGTTCGAGATGGAAAGAAGAAAGAGTAAATATTCCATAAATATCTCGTATCCTGAAATTCTCTTGTTTGGTTGCAGGTCGACGAAGTCATCCATCTCTTGGGTTTAGAAAAATGTTACGATACCAGGACTGAATACTTATCAGGGGGACAAAGAAGGAGGCTATCAGTCGCCTTAGAATTAGTGAATAACCCACCAGTGATATTCTTAGATGAACCTACTACGTAAGTTTATCATAATATTGATTTCCCTCGAAGATATTTTTATGGAAAATTGCCATTTAGTCTTAGTAGAATTTGGTTTGATCAACCGATGTTCACCAGCATCAGAACCGAAACTAAGCTCTGTCAAAAAATTCATTTTATTTCGATGACGTCATTGACAGGTACCAAAAATACCATAAATGTCATACTTCTTGAAAATTAATGAAGCAGCAGGATCAACAAATGGACAGAAGTTGGGTTGAAGTTTTTTAAAGGCAAAATATTCAAACCAATTTTTAAAGGCGTACCTCGACAAAAATTTATCAAGGGAGTTGATTAAAATCGAGTAGGTACCTTATTCAAAAATTAAATAGTTGTTTCAAAAAAGTCAGCGGCGTATGTAATGATTTTCTTTTTTGTCAATTTCAGTTGTACATTTTTGTATGTATTGGATATGTTGTTCGTACATGTACCTAATTTTAAGTCAATATCTTAATCCGCTACGAAGACACATTTTTTTTTCGTACTTATAACTTCAACATCCTGTGTCGTATATTAACTTTACTTATTATTCTATTATGTTTCTACAGCCCCCCTGCCTTAAAAATATGTCTGATCTTTGTAATCGCCTTTCATACTATACACTTCTTATTTGAACACTTTCTACCGCTCTTTTGGGTACCTCGAATGTGTATTTTGAAAATTCCTGTTTCAGGGGACTTGATAACGTTGCTATAAAACAGTGCATGGAACTTTTGCAGAAAATAACCAGGTTAGGAAGAACTGTCATTTGTACCATACATCAACCACCTGCATCTCTATTCCAAAATTTCGACCAGGTAAGTAGCACTGCTAATGAATATTTATGTCGCTTAACCTGACTTAACATATTGTAGCCTAAGGTTGTCATGAAGCCACGTAAATTAACCTGAGGAGCAAAGCCTGATGTCAAGTATCAGCTGTTCTGAACAGCTTCACAGTTGATTCAAATTAAACGAGTTTATAAATATACAATTATATTGAAAATGTATTTTGCCCTTCTGAAGTATTGAGCAATACTTACTTGGACGCTTAAAATTAAGGAATGTATTGCTTAAACCCACTCTGCCTTGAAATTAAGTCATCGAACCAATAATCTAAGTCACTATCAAACAATTGGAATCGGATCAACAATAGAAATTTTCCTAGAAAATGTTCTGCTGCTTATGTCTTCTCTAAAAATACTCGTACTGAATAAAAACACTTTTATGTTAGACCATTGACTATTATTTGGTAATAAAAAATATTTAATATATAAATCACGTATTGTTACGACTCGCTCATTAAATTTGAACTTTAAGCTAATTACAATAAATCAATTTTCTGAGAATAATGTTGAATGAAATCCCATATCGGCCTACTATTGTTAGGAATGATTAAATGCCAATAACATTTTTTATATAAATAAGTTTGCGAGATCATATATACAGGGTGACCCATCCATGTGTGGGCGGAATATTACTCAGAAACAAATACATTTTGGGAAAATCTATTTATGAAATGTTATACATGACATTTGATGGTACATTTCTAAAATATTGGCCATTATACAATTGCGACCTACATATCAAAGCAGCTATTTTTCAAATGTGTTGCCTCAAATTTTATTGCATGTTGAGATAAACCAATCCAAAAGAAGAAAATTGATATAAAATACTATGGGGTTTTGGTAATTCGCTACTGAGATATAAGGTATTTTGTGCAAGTTTGGATTCAATTTTTTATAAGCTTTTCTTTGATACTAGACACATAATGGTTTTTACGGTTATTTTTTTCGGATATTGGCACGTCTTTTATGGAACGGCTTAATTCCCTAAAAGATCATCCTTGGATACAGGTTGTTCAAAAAATAGCTGGAGATATTTTGGAGGGTGATTCCTTGTTAAAAAATTTTAAAAAAGTTTTTATAAACATGCGTCCGGAAATGCAGTTTTCAAGATACATTATTATTTGTTATAGTGTACTTTTTGTCATGGAAAAGTTGCAAAATCACTTTTTCCTAGGAATTTTTTGGATTTTTTGTTTTCAAAGGCATTTGTGATTTTTTTAGTATAAATTTAAACGGTTTTTGTTTTTTACCTTGAAAACGTAGTGAGAGATAAAAAAACAAGAGGCAAAGGAGTGTTACTTTTAGATGCCCAATCAAACAACAAATGTTAAAGTTACAAAAAAGGCAGTGGCGTACATTTTTTGTCAATAATATTCGCCTAGGTCTCCCCCTGGACGCCACTGGACCTAATAAGTTTAGTCTATTCAGGGCTAAATTAGAAAAAACATATTTTTTTTTAATTTATAACCCTGTATCTTGAATACTGCATTTCCGCTCCCATGTTTATATAAACTCTTTTTTCATATTTTTTAACAAAGAATCACCCTCTAAAATATTTAGCAACGAAAATGGAAAACTGGAAAACATATCCAAAATCTGTTCTCGTCATATGTTACTAGTCCATATTTAAAGATTATTTTAATATATACAGGTTGTTCCATAACTTCGTGCCATAGCAAAAATGTATTTTTTTAACTAGAATACCCTATATTGTATTTCATATTTAGATGGGGCTTCTAAAAACAAACAAGAAGTTTGTTAGTAGTGGTGCGATACCGTGTATAACTAGCTCTTTTTCTAGATCAGCTTAAAATCGGTAGAAAAATTTTGTTAACCAAGATTTATCTAAATATCTCAAAAAGTGGCGGATCTGCGAGCCGTCAAAGCTGATCATTTTTCAGACCTTTGACCAAATATTTTTTTCAGTTTGCTCATAAAATTACTTTTCATTTTTTTTTTCATTTGGACACCCTGTATACCATAGGGTTGTAAAGTACTGATAAGAAGCTTTAAATGGGGTATTTCAGTTTATTATAATGGCCCGTTCAAATAGTTAGATGGTGGGGTTCTTTTTAAAAAGCACAGTATGTTGAATTGTTCATTTACTAACTTTTCGGCCACCCCGGCGGCCTTTTTGAAAGTACAAATAAAAAAAGTTAACTTTCATAAGTTACTTCAGTCATGTTCCTAGGCTGATGTCTTAATATGGCTAACACAAATCTATCTACTTAATAACTTAAGTCATTATTATTTTGGTAATTTCCAATCAGTTTTCTGAACTTACAGCCCCGTTATGCTTCATGTTTTGTAACATAGATGTATTATTAGACATACGTAGATTAACATTTGTATGCGGATGATCTAACTACACCAACATATTGAATTTTAATGTTATATGCGTGAATGGGTAGAAAATAATCATGCGTGTCCCTAGTATCAATTTGCAAGTTTGATTTACATAATCTGCATTTTCATAGCTGTTTTTGAATAAAACGACTGTCGAGATATAACGTATGCCCTAAAAGGTTTGGCACAAAATTCATTGGCTTTAATTTTAATAAACACAAAATAATATCAAGTTGACTTTGGAAACAAAAGTTTGCTCACTTGCTTCACTATCAGTTGACATTTATTTTTTTAGATGTGTTAGCTTTAAGAAATAAGAAATAAGAGTTGTATCTACAAGGGAAATGACGGAGTTATGCGGACAACTTAGAGGAGTGCCCTGACAATGTGGGATACAAACACAAAGCGAAATTTACAGATAAAATCCTTGTCTGGTGCGCAATGTCTAACAGGGGTGTATCTCAACCTTTTGTGGGAAGGGTGAGGGGTGAAGCTTTGAATAGTCGGAGATATATTGATAACTGCCTTTCAAAACTCTCAAAACTGTCCAAGTATAACCCCAATATTGTTTTGTATGCCCTTCCACAACGCCAATTACTATTACTTGTCAGTGAAAAGTTTCGCTCTTATTCTGTTCAAACTGCTATCCACAGAAATCACCATTTTCGGTAACTGCATAGACTCTAGATTCGTTACTATTCGTCAGAGCGGTCCGGTGGGCTTTTGCTCTTAGTTAAAGGTCTCGTCGGTCTGTTAGTCTGTCAGGTCTGGCTACCCAGATACCAAACATGTTTAAGTGGAAAGGGGAAAGAAGGGAAGAAAGGAAGGAAGAAATAGGGCAAAGAAAAGAAGTAAATCATTTGAAATAGCTTGAGCATTATGCTTTGACCACTCGAATTGCTCGACTGTGTAGTCTACTGAATTACGCAACAGAGGGTTGCTGTGCGATTCGGTTAATGCCGCTGCGCCTGTTGTTTTACATAATCCCTTAGATATGGGTTATCAAGATCTCTGTGAATGGTCTCATTTGACACGTACCAAGGGGCGTTAGTAATTGTGCGTAGGGTTCTGTTTTGCAGGACTAGCAATCTCTGCATCTGCGTCTTGGCAAAAATACACCAAGCCGCGCCGCGCATGCGTAGGTGATTGCGGGTCTTATGACCATGTTATACAACCGAATCTTGTTGGTCAAACTTAATTTTGAATTTCTGCACAACAAAGGATAAAGCTGCCGAAAGGTAATTTGGAATTTTGTTTTCAAAATATCATTTTGTTTCTGCCAGGTCAACCCCTTGTCAATGATGACTCCAAGATACCTGACAGACTGCTCCCATGGTATATGAGTTCCATTCAGTGATATCTCTGAGGGGGCACCGCGACGTTTTTTAGTACAATAGATTGCCTGCGTTTTCGAAGTATTAATTTTGATCAACCACCGATGTGTCGTCAACATACAGATAGACTTCACAGTTGCTGGGGCAAGGGACGTCATGGATATAAAGTGAATAAAGGATTGGTCCTAAGACCGAACCCTGAGGAACACCGGCTCTTACGGGCCGTGTTGTTGACAACACATTGTTAACTTTGATCTGAAACTTTCTTCCTTCTAGAAAAGATTTCAACAGTTTTAATAGCCAAAATGGAAAACCCGTTTGGATGAGCTTATACAAGAGGCCCATGTGCCACACCTTGTCAAATGCCTTTGATACATCTAAAAGCAAGATACCAGTACTTTTGTTCAGGGTGAACCCCCTGGTTACATGCTTCACCGTACTAGAATTCCATGTTTTCACTTAAAAATAGGACTTTAATGTGGAGTGTCAACAACTGTCAAGCTGGCGGCTTAAGCCTGATCAATTATTATAGTATGAACTTGCATCCTGGCTACTAACTACGTGATTTTGACGACAAACAAAATGTGCTGCTTCGTTGGATCAAACAATTATCTCTTACTTCTTTCTAACATTCGCTGATTCTCGATACTTGAGGTGAAACTTCTCTTCGTGTTAGCGAACAAAACAGACCAACACACAAGCTTTTCCATTCTTGTCACCATATGGTCAATAAAATTAAAACTGCATACAAGCTAACTCAAACCATGTAATTGATTTCAGGTGTATATCATGGCGAATGGGTACTGTGTGTATAATGGTTCACCCTCCCAACTAGTGCCGTTTATGTCTAGGGCAAACTGTATCTGTCCTTCTACTTCTACACCAGCAGATTATAGTAAGTATTTGGCACTTTGTTGCTTTATGGGAATACCATCGACATCCACTGGGTAGTACATACACGGTTCACAATAATCGCTACCAAAATAAGACAGCACAAAGCGCCATCTATTTCCAGAATCGATCACTGCGAAAATGCAAGAGAAGGCTATTTGTTGGAACTGTAGCCCAGTTTGAATTTGTCGGTTGTGTCACCACTATGGCACCGATTCGGGTGATGTACTAGATACGATCTACTCGTCATCGAACCAGCTAGCAACATAGTTTTCGTCCATCCTTGCATATACGGCCAACCATGGACAGTTGTTTTGTACTTTGCGTCAGCTCATCAGCATGGTCTGGGCCTGGTCCCAGGTCGGACTACGAATGAACGCTGAGCAACTAGAATCTATCCAGGATTAAGATCTATCAAAATTAGACACTCTTGCACTGACCGATTCTGGCAATAGATGCACATTATTTAAATTATACCAAATTCCAAACACGCAAATGTATTCGAATAGTATTTGACCACCACCCAAATTTATTCTGGATAGTAGTCGAATACTACAACGATACTACCCAAGTATGATATCCAGTAGGTATAAAGTACCTCTTTAAAATTAAAATTGATGCTTGTCACATTTTCTCATTTTTATTTTTTCAATGATGATTCTGAAACCTGTAGCTCGTTTCTTGATTTCAGTCATAGAACTAGTGCAGTCTAACCCAGAAAATATCCAGGTGCTCCAAATGCACATCCAAAATGGCAAACTGAACATGAGGGACACAGCGGAAAAGCCGCAGCAACTACCTCATCCACTCGAGTATGGCGTATGTGAAATATATCAAGATACTACGCAAACAGGTAATAAAAAAATCTTAATGTTAAAATAATGGCTTTCGTAATGATGCAACGAACATGAATATTTTTAACTAATTATCGCAAAAATTGACGGATTGTATCTTGCATCATGCAAGGTTAATGGTACATTGAAATAACTTTCATTTGAGGTCTATATTTGGAGCTGTTTTTTTTATTTCAAATGACTTTCTGAAAGTGGGGAGTTAGAGGGAAAACATTTTATATTATTTTCTCACACATCTTCGATGTTTATTATTTAGGGAGTAAAAGTATAAAAAAAATAAGTATATCATTTAGTCAATAGGTTCGGCTGTTCGGAGTCCTTATTGCCGAGGGGTTGATGTAGTAAGTTAGGCTATTTATTTAATGCTAAGAAATACTTTTCTCCACATGACCTCGTCACTCTGTAGAACGTCCAGATAAGACCTAACCTGGAGTACTGCTCACACGTTTGGGGTGCTGCCGCCGACTATATTTTCCATGTTCGCTAACGGACTTTGCTGCTCAGAGTTCTCCTTCATGATGTCGCCGCGCGATGTGCCTGCTAGACAGACCCGCCCGACTTCGGCCTCCCATCCTAACCGTGTTAAACTTCGTACCTCCAGAACTGGTCGATACGACCACTCCTTTATCCTTAGATCAAGATTGTGAAACACTCAACATAAGGAGGCTTTTCCCAGTTCTACCAATCTTAGGCGTAGCAAAGTTTCGTTATGCTATTTATAGCAGCTATATTGCCCTAGTATTAGAATTCTGCCCAGCCCAGTTGCATCGAAATAAGACATCGCGACAGTTTACGATTATTTGGTGAGAAACAAACAAGGATGAAAATCTTCAAAATTGAGGGACCGATCGTCTTAGTTCATTGTACCCAACATTGATTCTATCCAAATTGCTTATTGTTGATATTGATATTTTTTGTTGTTCTAGGTATTACGGGTCATGACATAGAGTCCCCCACCTCCTTTTGGTCGCAGTTCTGCATAATCCTAGGGAGAATGTGCCTTCAGATGCGACGGAACAAGAGTATGCTTTACATCCAATTCTTCCATCATCTTATATCGGGCCTCCTGTTAGGAGGGATATTCTTCAAAACGGGAAACGATGCTAGTCAAACCATATCCGTATTCAAGTATTGCATTAGTATTAACGTGTTCTTCATGTACACATACACCATGGTTCCAGTGCTACTATGTAAGTACCGGATATTTTTCATATTGTCATGACCAGAATCATGCTCAGGTGTATTAAAAATTTCAATTTAACGGCCTATCCACATGACAGCTTGATATTTCACAAGTATGATTCATTAAACAATCGAAATTGCATTGCAACCCCTTATTGCGTGAGTTAGTTGAATATACTGTCGAAGAAGCCAGGGCTTGCACTGTGAATAAACTTAATCGTGTTTCTCTATCAAAATAGGTTCTAGAAAATAAATGCATTCCAATAATTTCTACAGTTCTCATACCTTTCCTCTCGTAATACAATAGCAATAACAGTAATATTTATTTGTAAATACTAATGCTATACAAAATTGTAAACCACATGTGATACAAATAGCGTCAGACAAACAAAAGTAACAATAAAATCTTGCTCTATAGCATAATAATCAAATCTTGAAAAAATCATCGATTGTGTATGGTTCTAGATTAGTAATATTTTGTATAATGTCTCACAACTGTTGGCGAATGGTTAAAAAGTTTTAGACAAATATAGAGGTCCTTCTTTAAATAACGCTAATTACGGCTAATAACCATAGAAGTTGACACCGTCAAAAAAAAAAAAAGCTAATCTATGCTTAGGATAAATATAGTTTAAAAGTCTAGCATGGTTACTTGTAGGCTCATTAACTGTAAACAATTGCTTATTTTTAAATATGAGGCACTCTTGAATAAACACCTAAAAAACTTAAAATATCGAATTGCTTGAACTTGCTTCTGCTTGATACATTTAACTTCAAACGCAAAAGATTCCTCAAAATGCTCTTTTGTATTAACAAAAATATTCAAATCCACTACAGTTTCCGAATAACAGAATTCCATACATTAATCTAGATTCAAAATTTGAGTGATACACAACTTTCAATGTTCTTCTATCTAAATAGTTAGCAACAATTCTTATATATATACATATATATAGTCGAAATTGACGATTACGTCATCATTTTAGTCTGTAGTAAAGACAAACGACAGCGATTCGTGAATATGTTTAATAAAGTTTCAGATATGTTAGACAGAGACAGACGTAATTTTATTGTCTAAACAAACTGTATTGGTAATTTGCATGTATCCGACAAAGATAGACGATGTATTCATGTTGCATGATCGATCATATTTGAAAGATGAATAGTTAGGTTATGTTAAAGCAGGTTAGGTTGTTTTCGAATAATACTTTGATCTTTGGTATTCCTGTCTTGAGGTATTCTACTCATAACTGTAGTTTTTTTTCAATTTATGGTATAACGTGATCTTGACTATACAGGGTGACTTCGAAGTTGAGTCATTTATTTTAACAGTGAGTAGATCTGATCAAAAGAAATGTTTTTTTCCTTTACCATTTTTCTGGTAAAATTAAAGTAACAAAGTTATAGCCCTTTGGAAGTTTGAGTACTGCCCTGTCTCAATAATAATATGTTCGTGTTTGGCGACAACGGATATAATCCGCCTGACCGGTTCATCGCATCGGAAACAAAAAAGCGAAAGAATTTGAAACGTTTATCACGATGTTTTTCGTCAGTCGATAACGCGTTAGTGAATAAATAGTAAGTGTTTGTTGCGTGGCTCAAACGAAATCAAAAATGGCACATGTTTACGAAAATGCTGAACTTGTGGACATGATTCTTATTTACGGGGGGGCAGTCCTTACAAAATGCTCCCGGATTCATCACGGATTTATGCGAATCGGTTTCCCAATCGAGTGCAACCAACCCCTCGTGCCTTTGTTAATGTAGTACAAAGTGCTCGTGAATCAGGTGACTTAAGACCTCACAGGTCAGGGCATGCTGCTCCAATACCGCACGATCAAATACAGGTCCACACTGAAATACTTGTCGGGACGATACTTTATTAAACAAGGTAACATTTTTTTTTATTTATTTTTTTATTTTTACACACATATTTTGGTTTATCTTCCTTCTACAATCATTATCTGAAAATTAATGACTCAACTTCAAAGTCACCCTGTATAACCTACCTTATTGAGCGTATTTTTTAAATCACTTATATGGTTTTCCCACCTGACGCAACTATCTAATTCAAGATTAAGAAATTTAGTATTGTTAGACACTGTAATTATTTTACCACTAAGACAAATTCAACTTTTAAAATTTGCATTACAATGAGTTGTTGTAATAGCTGCAACTCTAGCTCTTTTTCTCCTCTTTCTTTTTGACTTCGTCTGGTTTCTCGATGGTCAGATAGATTGGCAAGCTGACCAACATTGACTTTCATACAAAGCTAAATATCCTACGATCACCTTGACAGACAACGGAAAACGGTGACGACCATACCTCTTCCACTTTCGATATGGTCTTCTTCTAGATCATTACGTTCAACCAGCAACGTATAGATATACAGGGTGGCCAATATATAACTGACTGATTAAAATTGCGCCCCATTTCTGATACAAGCATGTCAGTAGATGGCACCGTAGTAGTTGTTTAAAGCACATGTGTCCAATTCATCATGGAGCACTACACGTTCCCACAATGCGCCCGTATTGTTAAAATGTTTTACTTAAATTACGAATAATGCACCCAAACTTTCATGAGTCTGTATCGTCGAAGATTGAAGAATCGAAAAAAAAAATCAAAAATATCTTTAATATCTCTCATTTCTTGAATAAATCCAGTTCGTCGATTAAACTCAATTTCTCGCCAAAATCGCCGGAGGCCCCAGAAATTCGATTTTGCTGCAACAAATAAAAACCCCCTATTCACCTGCCGAGCTCCTATTTACGATTTTGCGTGGCCAATCACTTCTTTGTACCAAATTTATATAACGAAATTTTCGTATTGCAAAGTAAAGCTGAAGAAAAGTTGTGACTGTTCTTTCGTATCTACCATCTATACAAAATTACGAATCAGTTTCTCGCCGGGAGGGTCCAGATGCTTTAAGCACGATGTAATGGTAACTTGAAAGCTGACAAAATTGCCTATAAATTGCTCGGTACCCAGATGGATTAACATCATTTTTTTTGTTTTTCAGTTCCTTTGGAGGTACAGCTTTTGAAACGAGAATACTTCAACAGATGGTACAGCTTAAAGGCTTACTTCTTTGCTACAACTGTATCAAACATACCTCTTTTGGTGAGTCTAGATTGTACTTTTCACATACGGAAAAGCAATTTAACTATTTTAAATGTTTAGCAACTGTAGGAGGCTTGACCCAGAAATAATTTGTTTCCCTGCTCTCCATTCCTCAAGTCGCGCTTCGCTACGCCGCTAAATCTTGGCTCAGAAGCCGTCCGATGTGGAGGTTCCCATTGCTAATCCCGCTAAACGCTAGAGTCGTACCACGATTCGACTTTTGCACGTCACGGGGATTTCAGCCGTGGATATTCACCGACAGATATACAGGGTGTCGGCAAAGTTAGGGGTTTCCTTTCCAGACACAACTACGCTTGATATAACAAAGCTGATGTGTGGTGAAACATGAGCGAACAAGTAAAAAACAATAAATGAAAAAGTACTCACTGTTCAGTTGAATTGAAATTCCAAGTACGGCTCTGTCGTAAAATTCGTGTTTACATCGTAGTCGTACGTCGTATAACTGTACACTGGCGCTGGCGCTATGGACGTGATCGGGGGATAGAACAGGACCGGCTTCGGTTTGGTTCAGGTTTGATTGAGTTTGCAGAGCCCAATATCTCGGTTCTCTTAAGACATTAGAGTATATGCTACTAAGAAAATCCGCTTATTTTCTAAAGATCTACACGTCGTGTAAAGGAAACCCCCAATTTTGCGGATTTATATGACAACAAGTGCGTGTCTGTTCAACACGAATCGTGGATATTCATCGCCAGTTAACAGAGGAGACTGGCGACAAGTGTAAGTCCAACACGCCCGAATGTGGTGCAGGGAATTTAGTGCCGTTAGACAAGAAATTCACGATGAAGGTCGAAGTGGACGACCATCAGTCGTGGCGGGGGTTATCGAGATGGTCCAACGAGAAGTTCTTCAAAACAGGAGGATCATCGTCCGTCGACTTGTTGCTCAAATCTCTGGGCGTGGTTTTAAAGCAATTCGCGTAAGTTATGTACTTTGGCTCACTCTATACAATATAATTATTATATTGCATCACCTTGGCGTTATCTTGTGTCATTCTATTACCGATGTTAGAAAACTTTTAACTTTTAAACTTTTAGAATTATCTCATATATGCATCCTGATACGTCCTCCATGCTTCTTAAGAATTAGCTTATGTGTGTATTCCTATTATACGACTTTATAAAAACCGTTGTACCTTTTGTTTGGTAATCAAATAGCTATCAACTATTCTAGTGATCGTTAGATTCATCAGCGGGAAATAAAAGTTATATTTTTAAAATCCCTCGTTCGCCCCTGGCGCAAACATAATACTTGTGACCGTCTCTTTGGCGTGCAAACAAATCTCGCACTTTCGGGGTCTTCAGTAGGAACCTCCATATCAGACGGCTTGTAAGCCAAGAATGAATGGCGCAGCGAAGCACGACAGGCGGATGGCGCATTGTAAATAGTTTCCGAAGCGGAAACAAAACTTGCTTTAAAATTGAATTGTGTAAGGCTTTCACAGCCATCATTTGGAGTACCAAATGATTTTGTGCGTTGTCTGCTATGTTGATGCTTCGCTAACACGAGCGGTGGACATCTTCAGAAGCTCTGCAATCTTGAAGTCTAGGATGATACTGACATGACAGTGGCTTCCATTGAGCTCAGGTGGTTGCGTTGAAATTGCATTGCTGCCATATTTTTGATCATAGGCAACTAAGTTTTGTCTATTTTAACCGGACATGTGGAAGGACTAATAGCCCAACAGCATATGGTACGCTATAAAATTGTTGAAGATTGCTGAATTCTTTTTGTCTAAATAAACCAATACTGATTTTTTCAGGTTGTCCTTGGAATCATGTTCAATACGATAGTATACGTGTTGGCTGATCAACCGTTGGAGTGGGAACGCTACCTATGGTTCAACGTCATTGGTCTGGCAATAGGCTTATCTTCCCAGGGAATGGGATACTCCATTGGAGCTTGCTTCAACATTCTGGTAAGTTGAACTTCCTACAAACCTTGGTAGGCTAAGGTCAGATTCCATATAAAGCTTCCCTTACTCCAATGAACCCTGGTGGTCTAATGCAAGATCCCACATAAAGCTTTGTTTACTCAAATCTACAGGGTGTTAGGTAAATAATATTCGTAACTTTAAGAGGTGATTCCTCGCATTATTCTAAACAAAAAAGTTCATTATGTCCGAGAATCAACCGTTTTGGAGCAAAAAAAATGCTGAACTTAATAAATTAATTTTGCACCTTAATACTTTAATGTCATATGCCTAATAGCGTAAAATGTATCAATACATCTATTTATTAATCACTTGTCTCTAACAAAATAATTTTGTTGCTTATTAAACACAATTTTCCGATGAAAACCAGATAAACAAAATCCCTCACACAACTGGCAACGTCGTATTGTATTGTACTGAAAGCGTTATTGAATAAAAAATATTAGCCACCAAAAATTGCGTAAAAGTATTCAATAATTCAAGGCATATTTTCAACAAAAATTGCATACAAACGTAAACAATTCGATGAATCAGTTGCGGTCGTCGTTCGCTCGTATCGCGGTTGCGTTGCAGCGTTGCCAAATGTTTGAGAAAATTTAATTATTTGCGACTCGCTTTCCTCGAAAACGATTGATTTTCGGACAGAAGTTATAATGAAATTTTTTTCTAAGAATAATGCAAGGAATTACCTCTTAAAGTTACGAATATTATTTCACTAACACCCTGTATATCGAAGTTGCTTAAATGAACTTAGCGTCATAACGATTTAGCATTGGAAAGATCTCAGAACTAAAATGGAATACATTTGTGGCAAGCTAGCGGTAAGCAACCCTAGTTTAACATGTTAAAGAGCTTTGATACCGTATAAGCTGCAATTGTAACAATGTCCAATTCTACTCCCGCTAGGTGTGCTAGTTTTAGATTTAATGAATACATAGTTGATATACAGATTGTGAACATTACTTCACGTTTTGACGTCTATTGACGTGATTAGCTGATCAGCATTTGATGTATTATTCGTCATTTGTTTGTCTGCGGTCCGCAGGACCTTTGCCCATTAGTCACTGTCTAGTGTACGTTAGTCGAATCTGTCAGTCCTGGTTGTCCAGAAACCAGACAATGTCAAAGAAAATGAGAAAGGGAAAGAGAAGAAAAAAAAGGAGAAGAGCAAAGAAAAACAGAAGTATTTAGTTTAAAAGGCAACTACTAGGCTTTTTGACTTGGTACACGGATTAATTTTGAGCTGAACTAAAAACAAATTTTGATTCGGGTTTTGTTAGAGTGTAATTTTGAGTTTACTAAAAGTTAGCGCGTAATTTTGGATCACAGTGCGAGTCGTGACCTTTAATGTTTACAAACTTGCTCCACTATCTAGTCCACTGAGTCACGCAACAGAGGGTTGCTATGCGATTTAGCTTGACTATACCGATGCTGCGCCTGAAGCTTGACATAATCCCTCAAGTAAGGAATGTCAAGGTCTCTGTGTAGTGTCTCATTTGAGACATACCATGGAGCGTTGCAAATTGTTCGCAAAGTTCTGCTTTGCAGTACTTGAAGACTTTGCATGTGTGTCTTGGCAAGAAAACACCAACCTGCACATGCATAAGTAATCATTTTATATAGTCGAACTTTGTTTACCAAACTTTGGAGGATCTACATAAAAAAGGATTTAGTTGCCGAAATGCAATTTGGGGCTGCTGTATGTTTCTGCCAGGTCATGCCTTTATCAAGGGTAGCACCGAGATACAGAATTTGTCCATGGTACACGATTTCCGTCTACAGAAACCTCGTCTGGGGGGCCGCGACGTTTTTTGGCACAATATATAGCCTGCGTTTTCGAATGATCAATTATTTTAAACAGCCACCGTTCCGCCTACTCTAGGACTTCGTCCACGTAGAGGTAAGGTAGACTTCACAGCGAGTAAAGGATTGATCCCAGGACCAAGTCCTGAGGAACACCGGTTCATACTGGCCGTGTTGTGGATAAAACATTGTTAATTTTGATCCGAAACTCCCTTTCGTCAAGAAAGCATTTCAGTAATTTCAGAAGCCAAAAAGGAGAACTCTTTTGGATTAGTTTATAGGGGAAACCCGGGTGCCGCACCTTGTCAAAGGCTTTTGAGACATATAAAAGCATGATGCCAGTACTGGGGCTGACGGTGAGCCCTCTGATTACATGTTCCACCAGCCTGACTGCCTGTAACTCGGTGCTATGCTTGTACAGAAAACAGAATTGAACGTCAGGAATCACATGATGCGTGGACGAAAAATTCTCAAGGTGGCTGTAAATCACCTTTTCGGCGAGCTTAGAAAGAGCTGACAGCAGACTTATGGGACTGTAATCCTGAGGAAATATCGAACCCACCTTATTTGGAATCATGATGTCCCTAGCAGTCTTCCGCCCAGCAGCGAAGTACTGGATTCTGAGCATCGCATTGATTGTTGTCACCAAATATGTCAGAGCTTTCGGTGAGAGCAGCTGCAACGCCTTGTTAATCAACATTTGATATCTTTGTTTATAACCTTAGACTTGACCCCAAATCGAACTACCATCTACTTCTAGCTAACCAGATCCACCTCAACCCCCCCTCCCTTGATGGGATATGGGTTTATTGGCATAAATATAGTTTCATGAGATCTAGGCCTATATCAACTTATCCTGAAAGCAACCGGTTTCAAACCATTTTTTTTTCAGAACGGTTCGGTGGTAGCCCCACATCTACTCGCGCTACTATTGGCTTTGTCAGTGTATGGTATGGGTTACCGCAACACCATCGAGCCATTCATGAAAGTTATGATGTCATTGAGTTACCTGCGCTTTGGCCTAGTTGGATTTACCGGCATCCTCTTCAACAACAGACAGCCTATGGAATGCGACGATGTCTACTGTCATTACAAGGATCCACAGGTACATTTTTTCATTATTTTTTATCGGTATCGTTTATCCGCAATACTTGTCTTCAGCGGCGGATCTAAGGTTTCCAGGACCCGAAGCAAAGCCTTTGCGGGGGGCCCAAAAAGCCCTGCTCAAAGGGCAAAATTGGGGACCTACCATAATAGCGCTGGTGACAGTGAAAGAGCATAAGGAGAAGATAGAGTTGCAGGATATCATTATTTTCAAAAAATATGTCTTTTCCGTAGAGCCGCTTAGAAAGGTCCCCCTTGCATCTTGGGGCCCGACACACAGCGCCTCGTGCGCGTTCTTAGATCCCCACCCTTGCATGGTTTTCAATTTTACTGTTTGCCAAGCACCTATATCTTTGTTTTCCCTTATGATAACGTTCTTTTGTTCTTCCAGGTCCTAATGGCTGACATGGGTATGAAGGGGACATTTCCAGAACATCAATTCTACTTTATTCTCGTATCCCTGGTGTTATTTAGGATTATAGCTTACATAACCTTAAAATACAGGATGACTTCGGAATTGAGGAACAAGCTTGTCCATTATGCAGCCAAAATTGTGAAAAAGCATAACGATCCATGATGGAGATCGTTCTTAAGATTCATTGATACTAATTATATAACTTGCCTCAGCTTTGAGGTCACTCCGGCCCAGTATATTTTACTATGGCTAGCATTTGAAAAAAAAATAATACGTAGAGGCTGACGAAAGGTTAGTCTCGGTAGTTGATACGATTTTGTCAAAGATGAAACCACATAACTAGAAAAGATGGTAAACAAAATTTTCGATCATGGCTCGTAAGAGTAGAAGATTTCTCGTTTAAGCTCTTGAAAGTTGTGGTAGAAAATAAAATGAAAAAGCATAGTATTTTATTTGAACCATTTCTGAATTTTATTACGTCTTATGGTGCACGACTTTTAAAGTCTCTCCAAGCTGCTTTCTAGTTCTGTGAGTGATTATATCAACAGAGCCAGTAAACAGAAAACTGGAAGTTTTTGAAATTGACTCATACAAAGTTGTTCAAAAAACATTTTACTACGGTAATACTTGGTGTTCATTTGAATACATCCCACCACGGATCTATTGAAAACCAATTAACTTTTTAATCAAAAACTACTCCACCCCTTCTCACCCTCTGGGGTATCGAGTAATAGCTTTTTTGAAAGGTCTTTCAAAGTCCTTTATTTTGCCGTTTGACTTTTTAAAATCGGTCGATTCGTTTTCAAGAAAACCTATGTTTATGAACAGAATGCGAAATGAAAATCGGGTTGTTATTTGGTTGTTGCCACGTCTAATCTTCCGAAAGGTAGTTTCCGTTTTTAATTATAAACGAATTGTAGATTTGGTGAACCCACACAACATTTTGAACACTTTTTTAAATAAAAAGTGATATTTTCGTGTGTTTTTGTCTTCTCTCTGAACAAATTAAGTTAAATAAAGCTTTTTCTAATTTTCTCGAAAACGAGTCGACTGATTTAAAAAAATCAAATGTCAAAATAAAGGACTTCGAAAGACCTTTCAAACAAGGTATTACTCGATACCCCTTGTCATTTAAATTTTGAGTTGACCCTGGGGGGCAGACGCTGAGAGAGTGTGAAGTAGTTTTTTTCTGACATGTCTCGGCGTTATATCTTTTAATCAGTGATTTTTTATAAATCCATGGAGGGAAGTTTTCAAATGAGCATACTGTATATTATATACTGAGATGTACTCAAGTCCAGCGACTTACCATCTAATTAGTAGGAGCTAGGAGCTCATATGAGTGTATGAGTGAATTTAACATACTACCCGCGCTTAAAATACTACGATTTTTACTTAAATGCTGATGTATACGTAGCAATTGCAGTATTACCGCCATCAGAAGTAGAAGAATCCAAGTCTAGATTCAAAACAATACAACACATGTGTTTCACTCATAAATTAATACCAATAAAATTTTAGTCTTGGGTTGAAGTATCTGTTGTCTCATATTACCACTAACAGTGTCGTAGAATTAGATCCATACTTTCTTGTATTTTTTTTTTCGTATATAAACAGGTGCGACCTTTTTGTGAGATTTTTCAAACTCTTATACAATTCTAGAGTGTACATATGATGCACTCGTATGGCGTATCCTCCTTGCCTGTATTTTTGGACAATTTTAGTTTATATTTGTTTTCAGCTGGACAAGGTCCATATAAGGATATGAATCATAATTAAAAATATGATAGAAACACACTCAATTCCCGTTACAAAATTACACAATTTAAGTTACCTATGTTCAGGAAATATTATATAATTAAGTTTGTATATATTTTTCCTAAATGGTCAATAGGTTTTAGAGAGAAATGTGATATCGTAGGTTTAGTATTTTTATAACGATGCATTGAATAAAACGTTTTATTTAATTATTAATAGTTTGACTGTACTATTTTCCCCGATGCTTCCTCAATTATATACGTGATATTACCTCTGTCCTCTATACATTTTATTAATTCACGGTTCATTTCACTGTACTATGTTTCTTAATCCTTCCTCAATGTCCATATACAAGTAGGAACCCACTGTTGGTTTCCTGGTCTATTTTTGTCCTCCTGTGATATATCATCAGCCTCACTAATGGTTAAGTATCAACCAATGTACTTTTGCTTACATGCGTCGCAAAATTGTCAGCAATATAGCCCTCGCCGAGTTCCAACTCCAGCTGACTCTGATAGTCAACCCATCTACTATGTGATGCGAATTATCCTCTTCGTTACAATATACCGAGTTCGTGTAGCCTCTCCCTTCTTACCCTCTTCAGGTAGCTGTCAGAACAACCATGTTCTGTGAGGAACTGTGAACCATCTCGCAACCTCACTTCCGTCACTTCTAGCTTTGGCGCCTTTTTTATAGAGCGCATATCAATTGGCGAGATACCAGCCACCACCAGAAGTGCATCGGTCAACCTCAACTAAAGATGTTTTGGAAACTCAAATTTCCAGTGTCGGATTAAGCTTCTTTTATTTCCTTGTGTTTTATTCAGTATAACGCCCACAAGCACTAGTTTGAGATATGTAATATATACGTATGTAAAAGATTTGGCGGGTTAAGATAAGATTTTTTATTCTCAGATATGAAAAGGTCTCGGTACTATTCACTACGCGCTTTCAAGTATGGAACACCCAGTAGATAAGTGCTTGAAAAATAATGATAATAAAATTTACCACCCCTAACAAAAACCTGCGCCAATCACTACTGGTGCCTCTATTAATATTAATTTGACCGTACTATTTTGAGGTCAAGTATCGATGCACGTACATCCAGTTTTTTCTTTTTTGAGAAATGATTTTGAGTCTTCAATTCAAGTACTGGACGTATCACAATTTTTCTAAGGTTCTGTTATTTTAAATGCGGCACTCAGATGGTGAAAAATAACGCGCAAAGATACAAAACATAGTATATTTATTATAAAATGTTACACAAATTATAGTATGAAATACAACATCTATAAAAATAGCTCACTCAGCATTTTCCGCGCAGTGTACTGCTACAAATATTTTTTAAAACAAAAATACTTAATATTTTACGTTATCACAAGTGATGACCTTAGTTTCAAAAGCAAATTACTCAACATCTTAACGAGAATTGCGGTGAAATTTCTTTTGAAACTAAATGGAATTGTAACTAAATATTATGAAAATATGGGTATTTTTATGGGAAGCCATTTCTTTGAAAATCCTTTCTCTATAGTAGCGGATGGTAGCAGCAAATCTGAATAAAAGTCCCAAGATTTCTCCAGCCATTATGGAATTAGATTTCTCCCACAGACAAATGCAAAGTTAGAGAAGTAAAGAATACCTAATTCCTGGTGCTTAATTGTCAGAGTTTTATGAGACTGCGGCCGTTCTGCGATTGAAAAATTTCGTTAAAATGTATAAACAACCACTTAGATAATGCAGAAAAAGAGACAAGAAATGGGGAAAAGAAAATCCCAAGTTTCAGAACACTGTGTATACGGCAAACCTCCATATTCCTATGTACAATGTATACTGACCACTGTTATAGCTTGATAATACTTACAAAAATATTATTCCTCACTGACACATTTGAAGCTTAACAATAATATAAAATATTAAAACAGTTCAGTTTTTCATGCCCATTTTAGGAACTGATCCGTTAACAACTACGATCAAGCTTATAAGAGGCAAAGTTTGTGATTTTTTTGCGATAACGTATACCGTAATGCTGAACAGATATCGATAGACTCCCAACATCTTTTTTATCTAAAATATTGTGTAAATATTGGCAAAAAAATATCCAAAAAGGTTTTATCTAACTCAGGTTAACAAAAATGATCCGGCCCTCTTACCCAGAAGCCAGAGTGTACTTTTCCGAGGGTTTTTGATGCGGTAAGTCCGAATTCGTGGTCGCAATATCTCATGTAGCTCTGGTTTTTGTAATATCCTAACTTACAGGTACAAAATCCTTGATGAGAATAGGTGTTTTTGTCAAGGGGAAGGGCTGGCTTTCGGAAATATCAGCTGCAAAACAGCTACAAACAAAGCTGGAATTCTCCGCAATGCCTTCCCAGAAGATTAAAATCACATAAGAAAATGGACGGGGTAGCACCCAAACCGAAACAACTGAACGTAACGTACGATATGAGGGGGTACTACTCCACAAACTGCTGTTAGCCAGAATCCCAGAATCTGGAGGTTAATCAAAGGATTTGGCCTAGGAATGGGCACTCTACCATCAATAAAGAAAAATTCAAATTACTAGTGAGTGATCAAAATAGTAAAAAAAGGTTACGTGCTTTAGCACGTCTACCTGGCGTTGACGGATCCGTCAGAATTATGTGTCCTGGCCGGTATGAGGAATTTTGAGATATTACTAGATAATCAGCTGTCATTTTTACCGTGATTGATACTCGTAAAATAGGGTATAGGTATAGTGAAATTAAAAAGAATGGAAAAATTAAAGTGCCATATCTCAGCAAAAAGAAAATATATTTTATCAAACTGAACGGTGTTCAAAATGACGATGAGAGTGCTTTGAGATGATTTTTTAGAAAAAAAAATCGCAATTTTTTAAGCTTTAGGTTAGGCTATCTCATAAACCAAAGCTAATTGACAGACTTTGGCCACGGATTCGGATTCAGCGCATCAAAAACCTTAGGGAAAGTATACTATGGTTTTTGGATAAAAATCTGTCTAACCAAAACAACATAAACTTGATCATGGGTTAACGAAGAGTGATGTGAATAATGTTAAGACAGTCCACCATAAAAACTAAAACGAGCTAAAACTACTTATAGGCTATAACAAATAAATAATAACTATATACACTGTCCAATAAAAAACTTTCTTTTTTTCAAATTATAACATAAACTTGAGTCAAACTATGTACTATGTTGAGGACAAGCAGCGTACTCTGTACTTTTGAATAACGTGGGTACTTTGTTGCGAAGATTAACATTAACTTTAATGCACGAAAATTAACTAGAGAACAAACTATATACAGGACGTTTCCTAATTGAATATCAATATTTAATGGGCCGATGTTTGGGTCTATTTTAAGAAAAAAACTTTATGTGAAAGCATGTCCCAAGCTTTTGAAAAGTGAAGTTTTCAAAATCAAATCCATGTGGTACTGAAGTGTTTTTAGTACGTCGCACTGGTTTCATCTGAAAAAATTAAATCTCTTTCTCTGTGTGGTGATATTGTCATAAGTAATATCATAAGGGCATCTAATTTTTCCGAAAAAAATCGAAAAAACACGTTGCTAAGTAATATTCTGTTTTTTGTTAAAAAAATATTACTTTGCAGTGTGTTTTTTCGATTTTTTTCACAGGAAAAAATTAGTTGCCCGAATGGTATTTGACACGACTATTTACTGTTAATAAATTCAGAAAAAAATATCAACGTCGTAGATATTGCAATTTTTGGTGACAACAGCTGTGTAGTTTTGCCGCGGGTAAACTCGAAAAAACTGCTGACAGGTACTGTCGTACAATTTTTCCTTCGAGAAACCATTTGTAATTAAAAATTTGGCGTTTGTGATTGGTAGCGATTAAGACGAGAGAAATAATCATATTAACGATATTGTTATGATAACGCAAAGAAACGGTTTTTGTTTTTTTAAGGGACAAACGTGCATCGCATTGAAAAAATCAAGCGTTCAAATCTGCTCAGAAATGGATGGGGTTTCAAGAAATCAGTGGCGTGCCATGAACGCCGCTGGTGGAAATTAAAAAAATGTGTTGCTGTGAAAAGTGCGTCTTGACACATAGTACATGTATGCCAAATCTAAGGTCCTAATAATAAATTTGTTTGAGAAAAGTTTATTACCTTGTATCTCAAAAGTTAAGACGTTTCGAACATACGTTCATATGAAGTTATCCTATTAAAGCGGGCCCAAAAATTGTCCTCTTGAGTATTGACTTTCAATTAGGAAAACGCCGTTTATATACTGAAGTGAATGACGCTTTATAAAAGACAATTTGCCAATATGTTTACCTCATAGTACGCATACTTTTGGCAAGCAATTCATAATAATATTCAGCAGACTTATGTACAATTGACTATTCCTGCACCCTATCATCTAAACTCACTCAGTTAAACTATCACCGAGAACTTTTTATGTCACCGATCAGACATTTGCTTCACTTTTGTCGTTTTTAATCCATTGCACTGTACCCATTCATATTACAGTTTGACTGGACAAGATTGAACTTACGACTCATGGTTTTTGGATGTTACAAAGCACAAAATCATCAGTACAAAAATGCGTGGTAGTTTGAATTATACGTCATAATTTGCCGTATAGTCCAGGCAATATCATCACATCTGATAGAAAAAAATATGAATCCTTTTTTTTGAACGGATCTCCATGTTAATAGAACCAAATTTGCGTAAAAAATTTTTGAAACGATTATTTCAAGCAAATTCCAATAATTGTCTTTTCGCTTCGATAAAGCGCTTTTAGGTTCTTTGGGACATTATGGATAAAAAAATGTGCTCCCTAAAATTTATAGTTTTCGACATATGTGTTTGAGAAGCTGCGAAATATGTCACTACTGTTTGCAGCAATATTCTAAGTCCTTTTCAACTGATAATTTCATGGTGGTGTGTATAGAGATGACTAAAAATGTTTTCATTTTTTTCGTTAAAAAAAGCACTTTTCGTGCATTTTTTCTTTAATCGTAACTTGTTAACAAATATAAGTACAGCTCTGAAATTGTGTGTGAATATTTCCCTTTCATGGAAGAATGCAACAAGTGATTACTTTTGTTCTTGTCACTTTTCCTTTTCGAAAAACCTTTGATTTTCTTGAAGCCTCGTCTCGCAGCAAGTTGAGTTTTTAAGGAAAGCAATGATTTTCCGAAAATAAAAAGTGATAAGAGCAAAAGTAATCACTTGTTTCATTCATCCATAAAAGTGGAATATTCATATAGAATTTCGGAGCTGTACTAATATTTGTTAACAAGTTACGATCGAAGAAAAAATCCACAATAAAATGCACAAAAAATGCATTTTATCACAAAACAAAATTAAAAGCGTAATTTTTTAGACATATCTTGAAGTAATCAGATGAACAGGATTTAGAATACTGTTGCAAACAGGTAGTTGAAAAAAAAGCGAAAAAACAAAACATTATCTAAAAGCCAGCATGTTTTTTGGTTGTCTGTAGCTATCCAAAACCAGTTTTGCAAGTCGAAAAATTCCCAGTCAAACCATATGGCATACGAGGAAAACTACGCCGATTTCAGTTGTCTCCTAAGTGTGAGGAACGCTATAAACCTGAGCGCGCAACAAACTCCAAAGAGCCAAATGACGTCATACCAGTAGTTCTGCTTCGTCATCCCAATGTCGCTCAGCAGTACTTTGGGCGAGGTGTAGTGGCAGTAATCCTCGTTATCTGGGCATGGCAGTTCTGGCCTGTTGTAGCCATACAATGCTTGCATCACGCCTGTAAGAATCAGAATCGTCGTTAGGACTTGTACTTATGATCACCACACAAGTGTATCCTCGATCAGAGCAATGTAAGTTCGGTCCTGGTGTGTCGGTGTGAAACACAGGCGAGTACAAGAACCAATGAATACAAACTTCACGTTTTCATCAAGAGATAGGTCCCCTAATTACAAAAACCGCTGAATCCACAAATATTTTTGATACATGCATTGTAACTGGCATTTTGACGATTTTCACTTTTTGAGTCATTTTGATTCATTTTTTGGCTGCCGAACACAGGGAGACTAGGGCCTTATCAATCTACTGATTAGGGGCTTAACTTCTTATTCACACAAGTTTCTATAAACATGGGTCCATAAAGATACAGGGTGATAAATAAAAAAAATTAATTTCCTTAAAAAAATGTTTACTCGATTCTGTTGAAATTTGACAATATTATTTGTTATATTAAGAGGCTAATTTATCCCTAAAACACATTAGAATTATTGGGTCCAGTGGCGTCCCGGGGGCGCCTTGCAAAAAAATGTACACCACGGCCTTATTTTGTAACTTTGATATTCTTTGTTTGATTAAGCATCTACAAACACAACTTCTGTGCCTCTTGTATTTTTTTCGTATCTCACCTCGTTTTCGAGAAAAAAATAAAAACCGTTTTATTGCATGTCATTGGACAAAATTGGTTTATAAATAAGTTCCTTGAAAAACTGGGCCTGATGATTTTAATCTATCTAAGGCTAAGTTAACCTCTTGATGAACAGAATCCAGTAAATATTTTTTAAGACTATTTTTTTTTAAATTTATCACCATGTACCTTGAAAACTGCATTTCCAGAGCCATGTTTATAGGAACTTTTTTCATATTTTTTAGCAAGGAATCACCCCCTAAACTATCTCCGTCTATTTTTCAAACACCCTGTATAGCTATAACCAATATACATCGGTAACATTGTAACTAACATTTTGACGATTTCACTTTTTTGAGCGATTTGGACAGAACGAAATTTTCTGCCAATTTTTAAAAGACCGACGATTTCTAGCTGGAAATATGAAAAAATGCAGTTTAATTATCATTAAAACCGCATACGTCCGAAAAGTAATCGTAAAGATCGTTACTGTTTTACTGAATCTTAATCGCGGCATTGTAAAGTATCATACGAATCTTTCGAATCTCATCCATTATACCAAAACATACTGTTCTAAATTAAAAAATATCGGGATTATAATACATCCTTCGCCAGTGGCGTAGGAAGTAAAATGAGGATATGGTGCGACAAGATTGAAAAATATTTGAATTCTGCTTCAGCTATCGAATATGCAACGTTAGAGGACATCCATTTTTCGTAAAATTTTAACCTTGAATATTACTATTTTGTTTATCTTACCTTCAAGTCCCCAGCTGAAGAATGATAGGTAGGTGAGAAAGTAGGTGTACTTTGACATATGCGTGAAGAGGATCAGGAATCCTCCAAGGCATATCATCACAGCCAACGTGATTGCTCCGAAGAAGGTTCCGTTCTGAAACAAAATAAAAATGAAATTTAAAAAATATACCATAAGTTATAATCAGATCTCCTTATTCTATGGACGCTTTATTTGATTTGACATTTCAGAAAACAACATCTTGAGAGATAGGAAAAATGGGCGCCGGCAGCGTTTCGACTCGCATCTTTTCCATTCCACGGAGACGACCGTACCAGTTAATCTACAGCACTAGCTGCTAACCGACTCCCAAATTGCTCCAAATTCCTTTACTCTCCCAAGCTGCCTCGGTACCCCATCTGGCAGCGCTCAAGTGAGACAAACCGGATTGGTAAGACATCTCCAATCGCTTTCTAGATCCACCACGCTGCCTCGTGGGCACACACCACGGTACCACCGCAACAGTATGCTTAATAAACAACTACTGAAAATTATACTGATTTTGCACATTTGATAGTAGGAGGGCCCCAAAAAGAAAGCGGCCTTTTCTGATCTAAGGCCTCCTTATTGCCTTGCACTTTTCCAATTATATCAGTTATCAAAGACTTTTTGCACAACTCGGCAACACCGCATTTAATCAAGCTGTATAGCAACCAGTCAGAACGCGGGACCCTTTAAACCAGCCAATCAAAGCGCAGGATCCAGGACGAACTCCAATGCGAGAAGCCATTCGTCAGTTGTTGCAGTGAGCAACGACGTAGCGACCAGTGTTGCCAGACCTACCGATTTTTCTGTATTTCTGCTGAAATGAGACCTTATACACCGAATACCGAAAACCTGCTCATTTTCCTCTATTTTTTGAAATAATAAAGATATTTAAGACGGCCGAAAGTTGGTTATGACCATCATGAACAGTGAAAAGATTCTTTACTGTTGTGGAAGAACGCGATTCAAAATGTTGGACATTCGGATCGTTTTGTAAATTGACTTTATTGTTGGGCGAAATGTCTTATGAGAAAGAGGGTTCTAATATTAAAGAATGTGTTGACTTACCACTGGATTCACCACTGTGCCCAAAACCAGTCCGAAAGCAGATGACGCCAAGCCAACCAACATTTGTATCAACAATACCATGAAAAACCTGCAGGTTTCGTAAGGCTGTGCGCTCATAAAATATGTCGTTGTACAGTATGCGGCACTAAATATCATCTGGAGCAATAAAAAATATTATGGTTATCGAAAAGTCATACAAAAAAATGGCGTCAAATAGGTTGAATCTGAATTTCCTCCGCTACGCCGTGATCAGTTCATAAAGAATTAAGTTTAAGACAATTTAAATCTTCTGAAAAAAAGTCCATCGCAAGCATGTACAACAGAGAAATTAAAAATATTAAGACAGTCAAAGAGGCCCATACAATTAGTCCATCAACATTCTTTTCCTGCCCTACAGGTGGTTTCTGTCCATCTGGCAACGTTGCCCGTTTCCATATCGTCAGACGCGGCAGCGCCCACCGAAGCACCGCTGCAGTAACAGCGTTGCGTGTAAATTGCAGAGCAAACCTATTTGAAGTCGTTTGTCCTCTAATTTGTTTTCTAAAGAAATGTAACTTACCTGTAACGGTATATCGTAGACCAAAAAAGCTATATAGTAGGTACTCAATTTATACCAGTGGTTGAACTTTTCCTTCTTCAGTATCGCTAGCTCTGACGGAACTGAAACAAAAATTATATTCTAACTATTTTGTCAAGGAACGTAAGTACATACCAGAAGAACTAACGAACTGAGAAGAGAACATCGCCTACAAAATTTGATGCCTGTCTGAGGGCACAGTGAAATCGTGAAATCTTCCTCGTAAGACCTAAAAGCTAATCAGCTTAATCCATAAATATTGTCTGTCTCAAAGGGAGGCTTTTCAACAGTTCTTCACAAATAATTAAGCAAATTTCCAAAAGGTTTTCGACTATATGCACCAAGCATTTATAAGAACTAAGCAAAAATTCTATCCCTCCCAGGATCTGTCAAAGCACAGCGTTGCTAGATGGATTGGACAGAATTTTCCCCAGAACAAGCATAAAACACCCTCAGACTTGCTAATTTAAATAAAAACAAATCACAATCAATTGATTGATGGAAAGGGGTAGGTTTGGTTCAAAGGGTGAGGAGGCGCTTTCTCCCCGCGATACATGTGAACATTACATTCAAGCAAAATCCAAGTAAAAATCCCACAAATTCTGAGAAAAATCCCCTAACCTGGCAACTCTGTCAAAACACCACTGCAACTCCAGGCGTCAATCATCATATCGCCAGAAAAATCGCTAAGTAAGGAGCCCCTGAATTCGGGAAAAATCCCGCAACATGGCAACTCCGTCAAACCACCACTGTTACTCCAAGCGTCAATCATTATATCCCCACAAAAATCCTCAAGTAAAAATCCCACAAATTTTTGGAAAAATTCCCCGACTTGGCGACCCTGTCAGAACATCACTGGTACTCCAGGCGCCAATCACTATACCTATCCCAAAAAAAAATTACAACATCCCCTAAATTTGTGAAAAAAATCCCATAACATGGCAACCCTGTCAGAATACCACTGGTACTCCAGCCGTCAATCATTGTATCTCCAGAAAAATCGCCGAGCAAAGGTCCCGTAAATTCGGGGAAAAATCTCGCAACATGGCAACTCTGTCAAAGCACCACTGTTACTCCAGACGTCAGTCATTATATGACCACAAAAATCTTCTAGTCAAAATACCACAAATTCGGGGGAAAATTCCCCAGCATGGCAACCCTGCCAGAACACCACTGGTACTCCAGGCGTCAATCATTAGATCGCCAGAAAAATCGAAAAGCAAGGATGCCCTAAATTCAGGGAAAAATCTCGCAACATGGCAACTCGGTCAAAGTACCACTGTTACTCTAGGCGTCAATCATTATATTCCCCACAAAAATCCTCAAGTAAAAATACCACATATTCTGGGAAAAATCCCTCAACATGGCAACCCGGTCAGAACACCACTGGTACTCCAGGCGTCAATCATTATATCAAAAAAAAATCCCCAAGTAAAAATCCCACAAATTAGGAGAAAAATTCCTCAGCATGGCAACCCTGTCAGAACACCACTGGTACGCGAGGCGTCGAAATATTATATCCCCAGAGAAATCGCCAAGTAAGGATCCCCTAAATTCGGGTAGAAATCCCGCAACATGGCAACTCTGTCAAAGCACTACTGTTACTCCAGGCGTCATTCATTATATCCCCACAAAAATCCTCAAGTAAAAACTCCACAAAGTCGGGGGAAAATTCCCCAACATGGCAACCCTGTCAAAGCACTACTGGTATTCAAAGCGTCACTCGTTATATCCTCAAAAAAATCGCCAAGTAAAGATCCTCTAAATTTGGGGAAAAATCCCCTAACATGGCAACCCTGTCAAAGCACCACTGTTACTCCAGGCGTCAAGTTTCGGTGTCGTTTTTACATCAAAAACAGCATTACCGTAGCTTCTCCTGGTGTATATGCTCCATCTGTTTTGTGAATTGAATTTTACATGACAAAACTTATATTTGATCTCGCAGTCTACAACATTCGGGGTAATACTTACATTTGAGGACAGCGGGCATTATTGAAGTATAGGACAAGTACACAAGGCCGATCATACATAAGCCCAAATTATTAATAACTTTGGAAGCGTCGTCACCAGCATTTTGGTAAAAAACTCCAAGGAATACTCCCACCAAGAGATGCAGGAAGAGTTTTAACTGTGAGATTGTCTGAAAAAAAAAAATAAAAATGAGTTTCTAATAGAACAACAAAAGTCATAGTTTGTGGCCGTGAATAAAAATGATATTAAAGCGGTAAAAGTCAACTTTTCGTGCTCGTGCATGAAATGTACTCGGGCCGTTGTAGGAAAATTATTCAACTAAAACCAGAAAAACGATGCTTACCCAATCCCTGTGAAGCTGCGTTCCTTGCCTGCCAAGCAAAACTTTGAATTTGGTCCATTCTGAAGGTGTCTTGTATAATTTGTCATTACTGCTATCGTATACATCTATATCCTTCTGTATGTCTGCTACATCCTTACTAACTTTAACTAGAAAAAAGTATACCGTGTGAGTCATTTACATTTCAGGTCGGCCGGGTTCAATGTGTACGAGAGAGAAAGAAACGAGAACAGCCTGCAACACGCACGTCAGAAAGAGAAGGAGTGCTCGCAGCACAAGTAATACCACGTTGTCTGACAACGATAGCGAGGAAGGTCACGAATGACTGCTGCTAACATATTAGAACTGAAAATGCAATATCTCCCAAACCAAGTCAGCGCCTAGCGTCATACCCAGGGCGACTCAAAAAAATACGTAGATATCTCCTCACTTATGTGTTTCAAACATACTTTAGGGTAAAGAAAATAAAAATGCGAAGTTGTTCAAATATCGGTTTTATATGTTTACTTCCGATTAGCACCACGAGTTTTTTTTTTAATCTCAAATTTGTTTTTGTATCAAAAAGTACAGAAAATTTCAATGATATTGAGCTATTCTAACAATTTACTTAAAAAATGAATAATAACAGGGGTAAGTCACCTGTATAGATAGATAAGTGAGACAGTGATTTGATACTTACTTATAGGTACGTTTCCCCTCCATTTTTCATCAGTTGCGGCCTTTGCTAGATAGTCTGTGTAGTCCCCGTACTCCTGGTTTACTACCTCCAGGACTGGAAAAGAAATATTCCAAGTTAGTCATGAGTACGAGGGTCCTTTTTTAAGTAAAAACGGAGTCAGAAAAACTTTATTGATAAACGTAAATTGCATCACAAACTAAAATATGAACTTTTTCAATATAGGTATGAGATTCTGGATCACGTCGTCAAAGAACTCTGCCACCTGCTCATTAAACCAGTCATCAGCTGTTTCTTTCAACTGTCATCATTTTCCACGCGCACCAAGAAATACCTTACGATTTGGAAACAGAAAGTCGAGTATATTTCAGCTGCGTCTCTGTCCTTGCTGCTACGTGAGGCCGAGCGTTGTCGTGAAGCAGAACAACGCCGCTGGAGAGCAGGCCCCTCCGGAGGTTTTGAATAGCGCGCCTGATTCAAAAAGCTGGTAATGAATTTTGATCATGCGGATCTTTCTTTGCATTTAAAAACCGAATTGCATTACAATCCCAACCGGCAGGTTTAGTAATGGCGACAAACAAAGCAGTATAACCACACAACCAACACTGACAGAGACGTGAAACGTTGAGGTTGAACTGACGTCACGTGACAAAAAACGCGACTAGGACGATATTAAGGCTAATAAAAAACCTCTATTATGTGTTGCTTGAGAGCCGGTGGTAATTCCTAGTCGGAATTCTCATTAAAACTTCCAAATGGCAATTAAATAGAGCACTTTTGGCGTAAACAACTGCCGCGATGTCGCGTCTGACCAGATTAGCTATCGACTAGCTATCGGGGGTGGTGACGTTGCCAGATAAACTAGAACTTTGGATAAAAGATTAAATATATAAGTAGATAAAATATACAGGGTATAAACGTTATGATAGTCATTATGTAAATGGGTGAATGAGGGGGTTAAAAGATGCAAAAAGTTTCATATAACATATGTGTCAAAACGGCATTTTTTTAGAGAAAAGCGACTTTAAACTAAAATAAAATAAATCTGACAACGCCGCAATGCCAGACGCAAATTACGAGAAGTTGTGCTTCAGTTGTTACTGAACCAGCCCCATAAACCATCCCTTTAAGTTCTCCCCAGTACCAGAAATCTATCGGATTGAGGTCAGGAGATCTTGCTCGCCATTTTCGAGGATCAGGAGCATTTCGACCGATCCAGTGATTTCGATAATGTTCATTCAAATACGGAATGACGCCTCTAAAAATGTGTGGTGGTGGCACGTCATGAAGAAACCACAAATTCTGTCTCCTTTGTCTATGTCTATGTTGTCTAAGGTCTGTTCCAAAAGTTCTGGTAGGTATTGGCTAGAAAGCTAAGGTATCCTTCTCCTACAACTTTGGGGGTAACTCGAAAGGGCCAATTACCTGATCGTCAAGAATACTCGCCCGATTATTTATTTTAAAACGCTGTTGGAAATGAGTTATGAGGATTTTCTTGAGCCCACGTGTGAGTATTATCTAAATTTCATATCTCGTCTCACGTAAAAGTACATTCGTCCGTCGCTAGAATGTTTTTAAAAAAATCAGGATTTTCAATGTTTTTGTGCAAAAACCATGGACAGAATGTTAGTCTGCTAGGATAGTCTTCTGGCAACAAGGCCTCCACTGGTTGTACATGGTAGGGATAAAGCAAATTTTCCCGTAGGATTCTATGGATAGCCCTACGCGGCGGCCTAATTCCCGAGTGCTGATATCTGCATTGATTTCCACGATTTTTAAAATTTGTTCCTCCTGCTCTACAGTAACCTATCTTCCACAAGTGCGAATATTAATGGGCTGAACACTTCCTGTATCTCGAAGTCTTTGGTACACTAGCACAACTGTCCTTCTGTCTGGGTGTACCATTCTGACGAACTTCACCGTAAACTAACAACATGTCGGCGAACTCTTGATTCGAGAACATTGTAAATAAACACGGCGACGTACGTGAACAAAAACAAAACAACACGCCCGATGCCCGATAACTAATCACTGTTACCGTTTGCGATCGATTACCGGTTCGATAAGAGTGATGACGCCGCTGTTGTCATGTGTGTTATAAATATTTAATTTAATGAAACTTACTTACTGACTACAAATTTTGGCTTAACTTAGAAAAACTTAATGCCATTTATTTGTTAATTACCCAACTTAAAAGCGTTTTAGATTAGATTATAAAAATTAGGAAGATTGTGGTGATTGTGGTCGATATAAAGCACTTAAAGTTGTAAACTATAAACTATAAAGCGATTTAGACAAAAATCTATTGACTTTTGGTCCATGGGTCGTACGAACTTTTTGACTTGTTTTGACTAACATAACGTTTACACCCTGTATAAATATAGCCAATGTCTTGAGTGTCTTGAATGTAGATGATTTATATCCACATTTCTAGCGGGCAGATAATTTAAGCTACTAGCAACTCGAACATGAACAGTACTTACAGTAGTCAGCAGGGTTGTGGTACTGAGGACAGCAGAAACCAAGCGAAGAAAGGTACGCTACTGTGTTGGTAGCTGCACCCTGATAGACACATTTTCCTTGAGCCATCATGTAAACGTGGTCGAACATTGCGTAGATCGTCGCGCTGGGTTGATGGATGGTGCAAATGATGGTACGACCGCCACGTGCGAGCTCTTTCAGCATCTGGACGCATTGGGATGTTGAGGAACTGTCTAAGCCTCTGAAAAGGAAAAGTATCTTTGAGATCATGACATCTTCGTCGAAATCGTCACCTAGCGTGGGTCAAAGAGGTTCGAGATACGAGATACCTAAAGAAACTTCGACATCTCTCTTCAACTAGACAGGTCGTACATTCAGACTTAAGGACATTTTAAGGTAAAAATTAGGAAATAAAGACCATAAAGTTTCAAAATAAATTATACTGCAGTTTTTTTGGGTTATTAAATTTGAATTCAGCGACTCCGGAGGACTCAAACATTCTTACACACGTTAACCTTAGTTTGACCTTGACAACTTCTGGATGACGTTACCTGAAATAAATGCCAGATTTCAGTTCAGGGACCCAAAAAACTTGTGGATGGAGGTGTTTAAATAGGCTGACACACTTTTACAAACGTTGACTTTGAAATAAGCAAGAGGCTGCCAAATTTGGATTCAGTGACACAAAACACAGGAGAGGTTTTTCAAAATTTGAGAATTGCTCAAAGTTTTACCTTGTAATGACCTTAAACGTGACGTAATATGGACTATGGACTCCAGTGTTAGAATTTAGAAAATAAAGACTAGATAGTTTCGTAAAAAATTATAGTATAGTTTTTTGGTTCACAATATTTGCATTCAATGACCCCAGAATATTCCAACATGTTTACCCGCGTTGACCTTAGCATAACCTTAGTTTGACCTGATAACAACTTCTGGATGACGTCACCTAATGAAACAAATGCCAGATTTCAGTTCAGATACCAAAAAAACTTGTTGATGGAGGTTTTTAAACTGACTGACACACTTTTACAAACGTTGACCTTGAAATAGGCAAAACGCTGCCAAATTTGGATTCAGAGACACAAAAACACAATATGAGTTTTTTCAAAATTCAAGCAATTGCTCAAAGTTTTACCTTGCGATGACCTTGAACCTGACGTAATACAGAGCAACCGACCTCGGCATTGAGATCAGCGACCTGAGACACCGCTATGGGTCTTACAGACTGACAATAACTGGAAATTCCTCCAGAACTTCTTGACATAAGGCAGCGAAACGCAAATATACTAAGTGACATATAAATCCGAACACCCAGTTTAAACGGTTTTATTTTAATAAAATTTTGTATAAGTACTTAATGAAGCATAATAAGTAAATGATAAAAATTTCAAAATGATTGCACTGCTTTAAAGCCCTTTGACCTTTAATAATGTGTGGATGCACCCTGATGTGCTACGCATTCTCCAACGCGCCTAGGCATGCTTCTGATCAGGTGGTCAATGCCCTCCTGTGGTATCTCATTCCAGCCAACCAACAACTCCTCTCGAAGTGCTTCTAGAGTCTGAGGAGGACGTTGCAAATTGAGCAATCTCCTACCCATCATATCCCACACGTGCTCAATTGGGGATAAGTTGGGAGATCTTGGTGGCCATGGTAACAATGTGACATCATTATGTTGAAAGAAGTCTATTGTGACTCGTGCAACATGTGGTCGGGCATTATCTTGTTGGAAAGTTGGATCTGCCAGGGTGTCAAGATAGGGTAAAAGATGGGGTTCTAGAACTTCGTGGATATAACGCTGCTCGTTCATGTTACCTCTGATGAAGATTAAAGGTGACCTGGAACCATAAGCTATAGCACCCCAAACCATAACTCCAACAGTGTGATGAACATGTCTTTCAACAAAAAACTGTGGATTCCTCCTTTCACCACGTCGCCTTCTAACCCTGGCACGACCATCGTGCATGCCTAAAGAAAATCGAGACTCGTCACTAAAGACAATACTGTTCCATTTCTGATCCCAGAGTGACCGTTGTCTGCACCACTCAAGGCGATTACGTCGGTGTTCTCGAGTTAAAGGGAGGACCCAGTGTGGCCGGTATGAAAACAAGCCAAAACTTCTCATTCGTCGGTAAACACTTCGCATGCCAATAGTTCTTCCGTGTTCTGCAAACCATTCATTTGCAGTGGACCTGGTAGTGGAGAAACGGTCCCTTAAGGCCAATAATCTTAGGCGGCGATCTTCACGGTCTGTTGTTCTACGGCGGCGTCCAGTGCCCCTTGCTCTTTGCGTACGGCCTTCACGAAGCCATGCCTGACAACACCTAACCACAGTGTCTACACTTCTTTGCACTCTAACTGCAATTGCCCGAAAAGAAAGTCCAGCTTCCCGAAGTCCCACTATACGGCCCCTATCAAACTCACTAAGTTGACGAAATCGTACAGGTCTCCGTACTCTAGGCATCGTAACTGATCGTAAAGGATGTCAAGAACCAAAATCCGCCAACGTTGATTCTTTACTGCGGCTGAAATATTCATTTTTAGAGCGTTAGTGAATTAAAAAAAAGCAGTATAAGAACCGGAATGTCCAACTGATAAGGCTGAAAATTTTTTCACTTGTTATTTACAGTAAGATAAATACATTTACCAACTTTTATTAAAATAAAACCATTTAAACTGGGTGTTCGGATTTATATGACACTTAGTATACATCAATGTTCTGTTTTGATCAAGAAAATGTATTACTTTCATATGTGTCTAGGAGGCAGAGGTTAGTACTGCTATTGTCTACAATACATGAGGGTGCTGAAATTTCAATAGAAACAGGAAGACCATAGGTGATGGGTCCAACGATGACCTGTGATAAGTACCGAAAAGTTCGACAGCACATTTTTGGTATAAAAGAATTGCTAAACTTACGTGGTAGGTTCATCCAAGAACATAATGGGTGGATTATCGACTAGTTCCAGTGCGACCGATAGCCTTTTCCTCTGGCCTCCGGACAAGTTCTGGCATTTGGTATTTCTGGCAACTGACAGTCCAAGATTGTTCAGGATCTCTTCGATCTGAAACAAACCATTTTATCACATTCATTAGAATCAAAAATTGATTTTCCAATTGCGAAACTATTTACAAAAGGGGTAACTGAAAAAGAATTAGGGACAGAACAAAAGAATCGCATCATCAGGGATTGTTCACGAGCAGTCTAAGCGTGCCATTTTTTTTTTGTTTTGCGACAAAATCGTTGAGGATGTTGTTGTATATATATTTTTGCAATTGCGTTTTTTTTTAAATTTGTTGAAGAACCGTTGCCTTTTCCGAAAGAGGACTTTTACAGAAAATAAAGCGACGGTCGTTTTGAGCGCATAGGTGTATATTGTTCCTTATTCCTTTTTATAAAATACTTGGGACATCTAGAAGCCTGGTGTCAAACCGGCAAACTCAAATGATTGCGGTAGGAAGCACATTAGTCCATTTCAGTTCAAATCAAAAAAAAATTCATAGCATGGAAGAATGATATATGAAAAATCGGTACAAGTTGGTAAAGTCAGGGTGATCAATCATGAAGCATTACAAACATTGCGTCAATGCAATAGAAAATGAGTAATTAACTGCACCACAAAATAAAATTGATATTTCATTATTTTGCAAAAAAATACTTTAGGCTACTTTCACTCCATAGTGCTTAATAACCTTGAGACGTTAAATTGTTTGAACTGTTAATTAAATGGTCAATACTAGATAAAAACAAAGTATAAGCTTATTCGTCACAAAAGAAGCTTTACTTTCGTTTGCTATTTCAATCGAGTTTAGAGTCATGCAAAATTGATGCAAATTTCTTGTTTTCTACCTATAGTATCAACAACGTAATGTAAGTTAAATATACATATATATACTAAGTGACATATAAATCCGAACACCCAGTTTAAATGGTTTTATTTTAATAAAAGTTGGTGAATGTATTTATCTTACTGTAAATAACAAGTGAAAAAATGTTCAGCCTTATCAGTTGGACATTCCGGTTTTTATACTGCTTTTTTTTAATTCACTAACGCTCTAAAAATGAATATTTCAGCCGCAGTAAAGAATCAACGTTGGCGGATTTTGGTTCTTGACATCCTTTACGATCGGTTACGATTCCTAGAGTACGGAGACCTGTACGATTTCGTCAACTTAGTGAGTTTGATAGGGGCCGTATAGTGGGACTTCGGGAAGCTGGACTTTCTTTTCGGGCAATTGCAGTTAGAGTGCAAAGAAGTGTAGACACTGTGGTTAGGTGTTGTCAGGCATGGCTTCGAGAAGGCCGTACGCAAAGAGCAAGTGGCACTGGACGCCGCCGTAGAACAACAGACCGTGAAGATCGCCGCCTAAGATTATTGGCCTTAAGGGACCGTTTCTCCACTACCAGGTCCATTGCAAATAAATGGTTTGCAGAACACAGAAGACCTGTTGGCATGCGAAGTGTTTACCGACGAAGTTTTGGCTTGTTTTCATACCGGCCACACTGGGTCCTCCCTTTAACTCGAGAACACCGACGTAATCGCCTTGAGTGGTGCAGACAACGGTCACTCTGGGATCAGGAATGGAACAGTATTGTCTTTAGTGACGAGTCTCGATTTTGTTTAGGCATGCACGATGGTCGTGCCAGGGTTAGAAGGCGACGTGGTTAAAGGAGGAATCCACAGTTTTTTGTTGAAAGACATGTTCATCACACTGTTGGATTTATGGTTTGGGGTACTATAGCTTATGGTTCCAGGTCACCTTTAATCTTCATCAGAGGTAACATGAACGCGCAGCGTTATATCCACGAAGTTCTAGAACCCCATCTTTTACCCTATTTTGACACCCTGGCCCTGCCCGACCACAAGTTGCAAGAGTCACAATAGACTTCTTTCAACATAATGATGTCACATTGTTACCATGGCCACCAAGATCTCCCGACTTATCCCCAATTGAGCACGTGAGGGATATGATGGGTAGGAGATTGCTCAATTTGCAACGTTCTCCTCAGACTCTAGAAGCACTTCGAGAGGAGTTGGTGGTTGCCTAGAATGAGATACCACAGGAGGACATTGACCACCTGATCAGAAGCATGCCTAGGCGCGTTGGAGAATGCGTAGCACATCAGGGTGCATCCACACATTATTAAAGGTCAAAGGGCTTTAAAGCAGTGCAATCATTTTGAAATTTTTATCATTTACTTATTATGCTTCATTAAGTACTTATACAAAATTTTATTAAAATAAAACCATTTAAACTGGGTGTTCGGATTTATATGTCACTTAGTATACATTCAGAATGTTTGCCGTTTTATTTTTTATTTACAAAAATGCTTTTCTTGAGGTTTTCACAATGTCAACGGTTTTTGTTTTATTTTGTATAGTTCATTAAACACAGTTTTCTTTCAATTATAAGAATATACAGGGTTATCCAAATTAAGTGTCCACCATTAGTAACTTTGTTATTAGTGAAAATACGAAGTTGTTTGAATTAGCAAACTAGTAGCATTTTTAACGCTGGTAAAAATGAGAAATAAAAAAAACAATTGAGAGTCGTTATTTTGATTTTTTTCAGTAAAATAACATTTTTTTAAATGGAAACCCCTGTATATTATATTTTTTTCTGTTAAAGCATCAAATTTTAAACAAAAAAGTTCATAATGACTTTTCCGCTAAAGTCAAAAATAAAGTCAAAATAACGATAAATATTTTTAATTATTTGCAGTATTATAATATTAAGACGGCTATGAAAACAACATGGCGTTCGCGATTTGACAGCATTAAGATAAGCGACAAATTGTTAAACTGGACATACTCGCAACTAGAAGGCTTTGGAAAACAATGATAAAATCAAATGATGTCAAACATTAGTGTAAATACTTGTTTATAAGCTTTATTGTGTCATTAATTTAAAGAAAAATGTTCTCCCATGAAGAAAAGTGTGATATGTTAGAATGCTATTTAGTGTGCAGAAAATCCTCCTTGAGAGCAAGAGAATACTACAGTGAATTATATCCCGCTCGCATTCAACCGTATGAACGATATTTTCTGAGACTTTATCGAAAATTTAGGGGCAACGAAAATGTTTTTGCTAAAACAAGGGCAAAAAAGAATTCATAATAAGCAAGGCCACGGAAATTGCAGTTATTGGATATTTTGAAGCTTATCGTGAGAATTCAATAGCAGATATTCTCAAGGACTCTAATTTCAGTTATGGTACTGTTCAAAGGATTTTAAAAAAATACAAATTTATTCCATATAAGTACCGACCAGTTCAAACGCTTTTGGCAGGGGATCCAGAGAGAAGACTTGTTTTTTGCCATTGGTATCTTAGCTTCTGTCGCCAAAATGTAAATAACTTTCGTTACCTTTTATGGACAGATGAATCAAATTTTTCAAATTCTGGAATGTTTAATAGAAAAAACCACCATTATTGGTCAAGAGAAAATCTTTTGTTAGTACATCCAAGAGGCCCACAAGTCCGTTTCAGTTTCAACGTTTGGTGCGGTATAATTGGTTCAAAAATTGTTGGCCCGTTCTTTTATGAGGGAACCCTAACTGGTGAAAGATATGTGGAATTTATGTCAGAAATTCTGACTAATTTCTTAGACGAATTGGATCTTATAAGTAGACATCATCTGCATTTTCAGCAAGATGGCGCACCTGCACACAACTCCAGAGGTACTTATCATTTTCTAAGTACTACTTTTAATGATCAGTGGATAGGAACAAATGGCCCAATACAGTGGCCTCCCAGATCACCAGATCTAAACCCACTTGATTACTTCTTGTGGGGTTACTTAAAGAACCAAATTTACAAGCGAAGGTACGATAACCTTGACGCGTTAAAGACTGCAGTTAGGGAAAAGATAACCCAGATAGATGGTAGGACCATACTTAAGACAGTTCGAGCAGTTGAAAAACGTGCTCAAAAATGTATTGACGAACAAAGTGGTGTTTTCGAGCATCTTCTTTAAAAAAAATTGTTATTGTATTTTGTAAGATTATAAGTTGATGTTGAAAATAAAGTTTGTCGATACAATTTAATTGTTTCAGATTGGAGGCCATAACTTCAACAATTTGTAACCTAGGAGAAAAGTTATTGTAAGCTTTTTTGTTTAAAATTTGATGCTTTAACAGAAAAAAATATAATATACAGGGGTTTCCATTTAAAAAAATGTTATTTTACTGAAAAAAATCAAAATAACGACTCTCAATTGTTTTTTGTTATTTCTCATTTTTACCAGCGTTAAAAATGCTACTAGTTTGCTAATTTAAACAACTTTGTATTTTCACTAATAACAAAGTTACTAATGGTGGACACTTAATTTGGATAACCCTGTATAATTAGCAAATTTATGGTAAACTCGAAAAAGGTCACGCCCTTTTTCAACAATACTGCCCCTAGTTTATTCGTTAGCTATAAGTTAGATTCGATGGACTGCCTGTGAAATGGAAACGTTGCATTTTGGTATGGTCCGCTCCAAATAAAAAAAGGTGTATGCTCTTCTTGCTTGTTAGCGTTGCCAGATTAGCTCAGAAAAATAGAAGGGTGTAATTTTACTGGTAATGACTTGAGTATTTCATATGTTATGCAGTAACTTTAAGTCGATTTAGTCAATGGTTGTCAAACATTGTTAAACAAATCCCTAGAAAACAACAACGTTTTTATTTTTATTAAATAAGGAATCTGGAATGTCTGGGGGAAAATCTCAATTTTCCAAATATCCGAGGTTTTTGAAGCTTTCGTCCGGCATCGGTAATTTAGGAGACCTAATCTTGAGCACTAGCGCCGAAAAAAATCACAAATATTTGGAATCACCACAGTAAGTATTCTTACACTTGTGTCGATTATACAATAATAAGCACGATTGGCAATTCCGAGATTGTATAACCCGAATCTATCCAAAAATATGTAAACAATTTTACGGAAGTGTCCTTTCACGAAACTGAATAGCAATTCGGTAACATAATCAACGAAATTATGTAGTGATAACTTTCAACGATGACCGTAATATGGAAATGAGGTGTCTGCCTTAAGATAATGTCACTGTTTGGTCACACCACAGTAAAAACTTAGGAATAAAATTATAAGCAATCATCAATTACAATTTTGACAATTTTTTGTTGTGTAGATCCAAATCCGAATGCTCATCGGACCTGTTCCTAATAGTCCGAGATCCGAGATGCCCTATACAGGGTGTTTAGTAATTGAATGTCAATATTTAAAGGGACGATTTTCGGATCAATCTTAAGAAAAAAACTTCGTTATGCCGTATTAGCCCAGGCTGCAGAGAACAAAAATAGGTATTTCGAGTAAAAAAGTTTAGCAGATACCTGAAAGTTTCAAATACATAAAAAAATACAGCCAGATGCGCTGTTTTTTATAAACAATGGGAAAACCCGTAAGCTCAATATTTTGCTTGTAAACAGGAACATTTAGAGCATAAAAAGACCCACAATTTTATTTCTTAGGGACTAAAATTAATAAACAATTAAGCTAACTACATTAGAGTGTATTTTGTTAATAGTTCATTGAATTATGAATTGTTTAAACAATCTTATTGTAGAATATAAATTATTTTATTAGAGTGAGAGTAAATGTAAATGATTTTTTGTTAGTTTATTATTTCATAGTAATTTAATTCGTGCTAAGTTTTCCGGGATTTCCCGATTTGACAAGTAAATCAAAACGTGCCAGATGCCAATATTTCGACGAGTTATCCCAAACTAAAAAAGAAGGTTCTACGTTATTTAGAAGCCGAGGTAATGCAAAATTTTACATCGCGCTCCGATTTGAATACTCCGAATTTCCAAAAATAAATCAAGCTAGAGCTGATTCCCCCACCAACTCACCCGCAAATACTTACGCGAGTACCTTCAGATTAGGTGGCTGTTTCTTAAGACCTTTGAACTAATAGTAAAATCATCAATTGAATCCTAAGATTATGGTCCTTGGTAAAAATCTTTGATAATTTCGAGTCTTAGTGTTTTAAACCAAGGAGATATGAATTCAAAAAAATTGTCTTGGCTCGTATTGGTCGTAGAAGGTTTTTTTTTGAAATATGCGTTTTTTAACCACCTATCCATATAAATTTGTTAAAATAAATTATACTGAAAATTAACGGAGTTATCGTAAATGTTTATAACTATAACAATGTCTATTTTTTAACAACAATTTTGAAATAAGTGTTTAATTTTTTGCATAAATTCTTGAAGTTGAAACAGTCAAGAATCGAGTTTGCTTTTATAAAATGTTCTAGGACCATATCTTGGATAAGAGCAGTTGTTTAAATAAATCGTCTCTGGGATAAACAATGAGCTTTTTACATAAACTTGTAAACCAATTTAGCACACTTATTAACACCAGTGGAGCCCTCATTGTCACAAATGTTTAGCAATTTGCAATAGTTACAAACATTCAATATTAGTAAAAATCTCCGTATGTAGATTAATAGTTTAAAGATTTTGATTCTTAAAAATGAAGTTGAAGGTATTTTTGTGTTCTAAAATCTCCCGTTTAGTGATTATTTATAAAATTTAATTTGAAAATTATACAAGCAAAATACTGAATTTTGGGCTTTTCCCACTGGTTATAAAAAACAACGCAAGCTGTAGCTTTTTATGTATAAGGCAGTAGAAAGACCCACCTTCCATTTAAAACTTTCAGACATCTGCTAAAATTTTTTTACGTTTTTTCATCTAGTCTGGACTATATGTCCAAAGCGTCTTAGCTTTTAAGACACTGGGAGGTGAAGTTTTCGAAAATAAATCATTCAAATATCTGCAATAACCGCTTGAGATATCCTAATGAAGTTTAGCATTTTTCAATGAACCACACCTTTTTTTATTTCCGCCAATGGCGTTCGTACCGAATTCCACCTGACTATTTTGACAGACATTGATAATATACTCATTTCTCTTAAAATAAAAATGGACCATATAAAAATTTGATATAAACAATATCTAATCTTCCGTTTTGTCCTCTACCTTCCTTTTTACGCTTCAGAAGAAGAGCTGTTTTTGTGGGTATGTGATACTGGGTATTACAATTTAAAAAATCAAAATCACGAATTTATTAAGAAATTTCAACCTGATAATTTCTACTTCACGGTGTCTCTTTATAAAATCAAAATGACGGATTTGATAAGGAATCTCATCCTTGAACTTCCTATTTCATGGGCAACAACTCGAACGCCTTGATGGATTTTGACAATTGAACTGACATTAGTTTTGACTTTATGTGGCAATTAAAACGTATTTCTTTGTTTCAGGATTACCAGATCTGACTTACGAAACAATACAATGACTTGGCCATTATCATATCATGAGTCATTACTTATCGAATATTTTGCAAAAGTGTAGATAACTTTCCCAACTGGTGACTCATAATTTTTATCATAGTTTAATATATCCTTGCGATATCGATAATAAATTTTGTGAGGACGAAGTACGTTTGTGATTGTGTGAATTGTCTTAGACTGAGGCCAGTTTCACAGCTGGTGAGAAGTGATAGGATAACATGTACAGTACTGAAGTGAGACGCTATGACGCCGAAAGCGCGAAAGGAGTGGTCGCACTGAGAATAATGCCAACTTTTAAGTAAAATATCACTTTTGCTGGAATAATTGCAACGTATCTGTTCGTATTCAAACTGCATCTCGGAAGTGCAAATTGTGTGGATCCCTTTTCAAATCAGCTACTATCAGTACTTCGATCAATTATCACTTATAACGTCTTAGTTATTTGAAACTTAACGTTTCTGCCGCTTAAGTCTTGCCCTTAAGCTTCGCTGTGGTCGAAGTTTTGAGGCTTAGCCAGAACATGCCCAATATTTTCATCAAACATCCTCAAACGAGAATTTATATCTGTTAGCCTCTAGTGGCATAGTAAAACTAACATTCCGATTTTCTTTATTCTAAATGACCAACAAATATTTGCTAGACGATAACTAAAAGTCGCTGAGACTGAATAATTACTGTTACGAGCATCTCTGACAAACAAGGAGCTAGTAAATATTATTTACTTACCATAAGTAGCTTTTAAATATACACATGTATAATTCGCCGTTTTTGCAACCGAAATGGTAAACAGGCGTTTAATAAAAATGTTCGAATGTTTGCCGCGAAGTCAGTAATTGACACGTGAGCAAACAGTTACGCATCGTCACCTTGTAGTTTTGACGTTCAAGGCGAGTGTCTGTAAACAGACTGGTGTGTACATGAAAGCTGAATTAGAAATAGATTTTCAAAATTCGACAAAACGTATCAGGTCTCAAAAGCGCATGTTTTATTTCAACATAATAGAAGGATGTATAACAATTTCGTGTGTTACAACAGTTGTCTCGGTGTTCGCGTTTTCCAAGAGCTTTTTGGCGTTTTCGGGACGATGGACGAGGGTAACGTATCTGGTACGTTATAAAACGACACAGCCTCATGCTTGGTCATAACTTTGGGTGCTGGACGTCCTTTTGGGTACAGGAATGCTTACCCCAGGCGGTCTTGGGCTTTGCTGGTTTTATGCTGTGCCATCTTAAAATTGACCTTTCAACCTATTGTATAGTGTATTCACACCCAAGATAGAATGGATGCGTGATTGCCAAAAGCAAGGACGGCGTACAGGGCCGCATTCAGGGCTACCTCCGAATGATGGACTACCACCAACGTGTTGTAAAACAAATATGACAGTATTTAACAGAAACTTAACAAATTACTCAAATACACTTAACAACAACAACAGCAACAACCAAGCAAGGTGAATACGAAAACACGAGCACGCGACGGACGGTGGCCTGAGTGCAACTCTGCCTGCCCTGCCCCTGCTCCGCGCATTATTCCGCCAGGCGGCCGCTTGAAATTAAATGGCGAATTGATCAATAAGAGGCGTTGTCTTCACCTGTTACCGAGAGATCACGCGCTAACTGTTATTATTTACATCTCATCTTGAATTTGGATTCAGTTTAGTTACATACTTCATAGAAATGTGGAAACGAAAGGAAAAAACAGATGAAGTGTTACCTGGAAGATTGATAAATAAAATATGTTGTCAATTTTACTTGATGAATGTCACCGTTGAAACCGAAACGTCGTACAGTAAGCAAAAATTCTAAGCATATGTGGTTTGATTGGTTTATCAATATCAAAGCCACAGGGTAAGGTTTAGGTGTTTTGTTCCAAAAGAAAAAAGAATCATACTATTAACGCTTACCAAGTACTCTTTTGACTTTTTCGACAAATCCGCAATCTTCAGATTGGATGCCATCATCATCATTTCGTGAACGGTGAAAAGAGGGGGAAGGTTGTCATCCTGAAGGATGTAACAGGAATCCTTCTTGTACTGCAGCGCTCCTTTTTTTCGCTTTGAGCTAGAGCCGTTGCATCTGATTGTACCATTTGTACCCGTTACTCTGAAAAAAATAGAAGAAAGCGATCGTTTATCGTTCAAAAGTTGTATCTGTGTATATTCGTGGGCAAAATAAATATCCCAAAGCTCTTGCCGTTTTAAAAAATACTAGAGCGAGAGCCAAAGATCAGTGTTGAAGTGAAATCAAACCTCATAAAGGTGATGAAGGATCGCCCGGTAATGCCCAGTCATATGCTGTATTTGAACATTTACTTGCAATTTCCATTATCACAGCCATTCCATCAGAAATAATAAACGCAGACACCGTTTTTCTAAAGAATTCCAATAAAGGTCACTCCTCAATATGCTACGTAATTCGTAATTAGTCTTAGAGACTCACATTCTCATGATTTTCAAAGCGCTGGAAAGAAAATCTAATGACCTGTTGCAACTGTTCGAGAGGAGGCATTGCTAAGATCTAAATAGTTGTTTGCAACAGCTGCGTGTCTTCTGGTGGTATATGTTAATCAATACTTCTACTGAATCTCTGTATATCCGCCTGTTCCAATTTTAGCGTCAATTTTAAGCTCCTCGGCTAGCTAAACAACAAAAGCATTAAGCAAAGCTTATCGTCGATGTTTTTGTTTGTCCGCTCATGGATTTGTGAATATTGTTAAAAATGTTGGATGCTGGGACTGGACAAAAACATCGAGCGCCTTGACAACAACAAAAAATGAAAGGCCTTGCTCTTTGTAACGCGAATTCTTAAAAAGTCGTACTTATTTATTACCAAGCGATGAGAAATCCACTCACACCTACCCTATCGAACTCAAGAATACCGACGCGTCGTTGTTTTGTCAATTGGATACCTCACTTTCTTTACTCCGGTCGTCGACATTGAAATTATAATACGAGCTTACAGCAAAATCGGTTTTTAATTTATACCAACTCAGCATTCACTGAATTGTGGATTTCGAACCCTATCCGGGACATTTAGGCCTCAGCAGGAGCAGATCCATAAGAATGCCGGTTTGAACTTTTTCGTTCCATTATAATGGTTATTGGAAACTTATTGTTTTAGATACAAAAAGCAATAAAATTAGTTTAAAAATACTTTCTCCAATACATTCTTAGCTTTGTAATAGTATATCTATATATACTAGGTTGTCCAATAGGGACGCAGGAAGGTAAACGTCAATTTGACATAGACGCCATCTTTGTTTTCTGTCCCCGACATGTCATTTTGTTAGTTGAATATTTACCATTGATCGCTATGGAGTCGTATTCGATTGAAGACCGCATTAAAGTTATTCAAGAGCACTACAAAAATGGTGCAAAAATAAAAAACACGTTTCGCGCGCTTCGTGAACATTTCGGTCGCAACAACCGCCCAAACGAAACAACCATCGGCCGTCTGGTGCATAAATTCGAGGCAACAGGTTCTGTGGCAAATCTGCCAGGCTCTGGCCGGCCAAGGAGCGTTCGCACACCGGAAAATATTGCTGTTGTGAGAGACGATCCGAAATAATTAACAACGCGTCGATCCCAAGAATTGGGCATTTCGAGAACCAGTTTGCTCCGCATTCTCCACAAGGATTTGAATGCACACGCCTACAAGATCCAATTGACGCAAGAGCTGCGTCGGGCCGACCATTTTTCGCGCCGAACGTTCTCAGATTGGCTCCTTGAACACCACCAAATTGATGCCAATTTTTCATCAAAAATCATGTTCTGCGACGAAGCGCATTTCACTTTGAATGGGACGGTAAACAAGCAAAACTGCCGCATCTGGGCGAATAAAAATCCCCGTGAGTATCAAGAGCAACCGATGCATCCTCAAAAAGTGACTGTGTGGTGTGCATTGTGGTCAAAAGGCATCATCGGACCTTACTTTTTCGAAAATGCGGCCGGGGACGCCGTTACCGTCAATTCTGAGTGATATCACGTGATGATAGAGGACTATTTTTTGTCGCAACTTGAAGGAATGGATATGGACGATGTTTATTTCCAACAAGACGGTGCAACATGCCACACAACCAACGTCAATATCCATCGATTGCAGTCCTTCTTCGGTGATCGCGTGATTTCGCGCAGAGGAAATGTGCCATGGCCACCAAGATCGTGCGATTTGACTTCCTTGGACTTCTTTTTATGGGGATATTTGAAAAGCAAAGTCTACGTCAACAAACCAGCCACCCTCCAAGAACTCAAAAACAACATCATTGCCGAGATAAATGCCATAGAACCGACCATGTTGCAAAATGTCATTGAAAATTTCGACCTTCGCGTGGACGTCTGTAAATCCAGTCGTGGTGAACATTTGAGCGATATTATTTTTCATCCATAAATGGTATAAATGAACCTTCAAAATAAAGTTCCCAACTTGATTTGAATATCGATCTTTCTTGTTTTAATATGCGTTTACTTTCCTGCTTCCGTTTTGGACAACCCCATATATAACTGCATATTTGTTAAGGTGGTCTTCCTACAACACACTAGAAGTTAAGAAATAAAGAGAACAGTTGGTGTTCAAAGATCTGCGTTTATTGTGTCAGCTATTGATATTTTTCAAACAATTTTGAGAATGCGTAAACTTCGAAAAAGTAGTATGTTCCCAGATTCTTCGTATCTTTAAATGTTTATCAGAGAACTAATTTCACCTCTGGGGTGACATTGGGAGAGACGGCGAGACTGTAGCACGCTTTTCTTCTTTTTATTAAAATAACAACTCGAGGAGCGACTTTTTTGTCAAGGAGGCCATGAAGAATACGGTTTTTTTCTCTCTTGTTTTCAAAAATTGGCCTACAAACTATGTGCTACTAAGCTGCTTAGCCACTTGTAACTATAATACCAGATATTGTGAGGCCTTCAAGTCCGTAGATCAAGGTTAATATTAGACCAATTGCAAAATTCTGCCTTAAATAAAGATTACTATTCAAGTATCAGTATGTGGTACGCCACTTTCTCCCGTTTTTGTACCAGGCTACAGTAGAAGTATCTGTTTTAGAGAAAATTGTAGTGTTAATATTTTATTAATTTTGAAATAATTTGAAGTGTTGCCTGTATGCTCTCAACATTATTTTACATTTGCATGTTTATAATAATATATCTTTGGATCTAACTGAATAATAGTAATAGCGCTACAAGGATCTTGAAATAAAGATGACGCGCCGCGGTAAAATTAAGCATCCGAATATTAAAGTCTGATGTACAATGTTCGAAAAAGCTATAAAAGATCCATAGCTTCTAATGAGGAAACCACGAAAATTAATTATGACGTTTCGAATACTCAACTGTTATCACTCAATCAAAGTATACATAAATATAAACTGTGGAAACGGCATTGTAAAATTTTTCAATAATAAAATTTAAATTACCGTGAAACAAAGTGGTTTTAATTATTGTTGTAGTTAAGAGATAGCTCGATATCAATTGCATCAACAGTCCAAACAAATCATTCAATTTTGTGAGGCAAACTATATATTTTCAGAAAGTTTAATAAATATTCATGAGAACGTTTGACAAAGATCTTCCTCAGTCAATCCTCGTTTTTCGATCGTTTATTGAGAAAGCATATCTGAAAAATTGAATAAGAACTCGTCTATATATAATTCGTGAAATACAGGATCCTGGATAAACAAAAAAATGTTAAGAATATTTGTTTTGTTCCTAAGAAATACCTTGAGACATCCATAAAATCTTTATGACCCATAAACCGTCCAAAAGTGAACCAACTGCATCAGGATATGTTTGAGGAAAAGGTCAAGATCAAGGATTTATGATACGATACAACGTACGCTGACGCTGACGAACGGAGCGTAGTTGATTAAATTTTATTAACATTTTTGTAATGATATGTATACGCGAGTTTTTTCAACGCAGAGGTCTGTGAAGTTCAGTACGAGATGTAAAATTGCATGCTAATCATAATGCATGCGCGGATTTTCGATTATGTTCTAGAAGTGACCTAGTCAGTGCATGATTATGATGTATTTATATACATGTTGGGATATCAGTAATAGATCTTTCTGTTTACAGTCAGACGAAGAAAAGTATGGATTGCTCGACACACGGTTTCTTAACAACCTTTGGGAAACTTTGACCTTTGACAAGTAGAGGTCATGGTTCATACATAAACTGAAGCTCAGAATCTGAACAAAATTTCTGGCTATTTATAATCCATTCGCAAACTTTCATACATGCTCTAGAACAAGTTTTTGGAAGCCCATCTATTTATTATTGAAACCAGAAAACAATTAGTAACTCAACGTGTCAGAAAACCCATTTTTTTTTTCAGGAAGAGCCACACCATGATGTGACACGGTAATTAGAAAAATGCATAGTAATCGTACAAAAAAAAGGAATTCTCAGAAGTACCCTATTCGTTGAAAAGCATTAAAACATCATATCATTCCGTTAAATTCTGTAGTTACAGTAAATAACAAAGAAATTATTACTTGAATTTATTCTTTATTATCATTCCACATACTGAAGTTGCATCTTAAAGTCAGGTGTAATTATACTAAATATGTTATATTTCGAATTAATGACTTTTTTTATGGACATTATTTTTACAGCATACACATTTGTTGCAATTATTACTGTCAAAGAAAGATATACACGAAACAAAAATGGCAAAAACTAAATCAATTGATTTCAAAGTGTGTATTGTGATTGTCATTAAAAATACGTATACATTAATAGATAAGTTTTGGTTAGAGATAACGAAGTACTTTTAAAATCCAACAATACTTCCAAAATTATGATTCTGTAACATTCAATACAATAATACCATTTTGAAGTTCGTGCGGCTATGTATTTTGTTATTACAAATCGCCTTAGTTCGGGTTGTAGAGTGCTACTGAAATCTCGATCTATGTTCTAAGCTTTTGGGTGACAAACATTGATCATTTTTCTATTTCAAAGTAATAGCAGTCCAAAGGTTAGCTGTGAGATATCAATATTTGTTTTATTTCATTTTAATGGCGTTATTTAATAGTGATTTACCAATTTTTATTTTACATGATTGATAAGGTGATTTGCGAAATTGTTCAACGCTTGGCGCGTAAACAGTTCACTTCAATAAATGTGTGTTTAAACTAGAATCTACAATATTGGGAAAAGTGTGAGCGATGCATTTTAGCTTCTGAATCCAGCGTTTTGGGATCGATGACTGAGGGAAGATACATTTTATTGATTTTAAGAAGCAAACTTCATATGAACTTATGTCCTAAACATCTTAGCTTTTGTGATGTTCAAAGATAAATCATTTAAATATGCCTGTAAACACCTATGTATTAAAAAGCATTTTTTTAATTTATTACCATGATTCAGGAGATCATGAATGAATACAGACATAATTTTTTTATTTTAAAGAAGGTCAGTGCTACTGATTTATTTACGAAAACGTTACCACTCCTTATCTCAAAAATTAAGACAGACGTTCGTTTAAGTCTTTCTTCTTAAAATACATCCAAAAGTCGTTCACTTAAAAATGGACTTTCGAATAGGAAACATCCTGTATAAAAAAGACAGTGGGCAGCTTTGGCGTTATTTATTTCTCTGTTGCGCGGACAAGGATGAATTTCCTTTTTCTTATTTCTTAAAAAAGACGCGCCAAGTAGTAACATTTCTGAAACGTTAACCTAAAACCTTTTGGAAAACGGGATCCGTTCTATGTCCTAAAACGAGGTTCTGACTGATCATATTCTTCTCTGTAACCATGTGGGAATGCTAGAATGCTATCATTCTGTATATCTGTATAACTGACAAACGGCGCATGATGTGGAAATCACAAAAGCAGGCACAGAACTAGTAGAATTCAAACCAACATATATGTTTCACTGAGGTGCGTTTGTAACTGACTTGGTAATATAATATCCTACACACTATTTCACTCTGGAATACTGTGCGACTTTATTTTTAGAACCCCTCAATTATCACAGAGTCATTTAATGACGTTTTCTATGGCCATTGTTTTTATTAGAAAAATACATATTCTGTCAATTCTGAGCACTCTTTAATAATCAAACACGGTAAACAAACAATGAAGCATGAGAATGACAAGTGGCAATACTCAAGGTGTTAAGCTGAAATTGTTACAGAGTTATACAGCTTCTGTTCTAGCACTTATATCCCAAAAAACGATATTTTTTGCATAATAAAAAAACATAAATGATCGTTGATCATGGGAGAAAAACACGACGCCAAAAATCATTGAAAATAACACCCACTGCGCAACGGCCTAGGTTATGCCTCACAAAGTATCAAACTTGCAGAAATTTCACAACTCCTACTAAAAGCTCACACTCCATTGCTTAAAACAACTCACATCATTACTAACAAAATGCTATCACTGAACAATGGCATAAAATCAAGTGATTAAAAGCATACTGCAAATATCTAATTACAAGTGATGTAATTATAACTCTAAGATAGCAGTTTTTTAAACTAGAGGTCGAGAGATTATAAGTTACAATATTGTTTAATAATAAATTATTATCATTAACAGAAATCCTTGTACAAAGACGCATGTATATGCACGCTAAGTTCGAATGTTTAATTTCTGCGAAAAGAGTTGAGCTTGGTGATCTAGTTTGCTAATATTTTGTGCCTGTAGTTATATACATATGTATAATAATTTGAAGTTTATTCAGATTGTAATCACATTATCCTTCCTAGATCGTGAAACCTTGGCGACGTTTGGGTCGCTTCATCGTTTTTCAAAGTAAAAGATAAGGTGACCGAAACGTCGACAAGCTTTTCCTTTCTCATCAGTAGTTTCCTTTGGCGGAAAATGTCCATCTGGCCAAAGTCCAATTTTGTGTCATTTATTCTGCTTATGACTTACAGTCTGCATAAATACGTTTGATTCATTTATTTATGATCTCTTTAGCTGTTTTCTCCAAAAAATGTTTAGCGGTCCCCAGGGACCGCCGTGGCGTGGCGGGAAACATATGCCTAGCACGCCATGCCGGTCCGACTGGCGGTCAGATTTGACTTGTTCGTTCCTGTTTTACTTACGCAAATCAATTTATTGCTCACCACGGTAGAGTAGACGTTGATGGTCTGGTCGATAGAAGTTGCTTCCAGTTAGTGCTTTTTACGTGCAATTATAAAATGAGTTAACGCGCCAAACGTTTGGTTCAACTTGCAAGAAAACTTTCCTCGAAGTATAGTAACGGTAAGGCTCAAGAAAAATATTACATTGGCGACATTATAAAATAAAAATTTTTCAGACTACAGTTCGTCTTCAGAATCGCTGAACGATCCATTTCAGTGTTCCCACTTTTACCTTGACTACTTCGAAACAGGTCATCAATAAATGAAATTACCTTATATTTTGTATCCCTAGATCATAACTTCTTTTATATATATATATATATATATATATATATATATATAATGTATATAAAACAAAAAATAGGAAAATAATGAGCAAAATCCACAAAAAGAAGGAAATCACACACGAAGTCCACAACAACAACCAACCTACAAATTGTAGTATAAAATGGCTAGAAGACCTCGATTTTTCAAGGCAACATCTAACCACAACGAGAAAATAATCATGCGAAGAAAGGCATATAACAAAAAATAGGAAAATAATGCATAATAATTTTCTCTTTGTAGATCCTTTGGGCTGAAGTACCACAGAAAGTGGATATAACCGGCAACGTGGTTGTGGTTAGATGCTGCCTTTAAAATTCGAGGTCTTCTAGCCATTTTATACTAGAATGTGTAGGTTGGTACTTGTTGCGGACTTCGTGTGTGATTTTTTTCCCTCTCCAACTTCGTTTCCTCAGGTTACACTGGTATCCGGATATATGGGCATGTGTATCTACTTTTGAAGTTGCATATGTGCATTCACTTCGGGCCTGATGAAGCCAACCAGCAGAAATACGTTATCGCTCGGGTTACCTATCCTATTTTCTGCTCGAATCCACTTTCCTTCTTTTTGCGGAGTTTGCCAATTATGTTCCTATTTTTTGTTATACACCTTTCTCCGCATGATCATTTTCTCTTTGAAATATATATATATATATATATATATGCAAATTCACTGGAATCTTCTTTATTTTTGTTGTGTAGATTTAGTAGGAAATAAATGATGTGAATCAATTAAAAATTGAATAACTCTATTTAAAACAAAGTTACTCCAAAAACTTGCCATTAGGGTATAATCCATACCAGCCCCAGCGGCCCATATCTAACGCTAAAATGAATTTAAATATGGAGCTTTGGCTGGAGTCACCGTGAAAATAAATTAAATACAAAGCGGTCCGTACGGACTGCCGTGGCGTGATAGGCCCGTTATCAAGCGGTTCCATGGGACCGCCATGGCGTTTAACGTGTTAATGTTAGGCGCCTCTAGGGGCGACCTACCAATCTGAAAATTTGTTTGAGGTGATTATACCTTTGAGGGCAATTTTCATATGAAGTTTTGGCCTCAAGCCTTCAGGCGTTTCTAGACAGAACGATCGAAGATGTACGTTTCAAGTCTGTTGTGAAAAGACATATTGTTCTACTTCGCAAGTTGTATCTAATGGTAGATTCAATACGCCAGAAGGGTTCAGCTTTACGCTATGTCAAGGACATATTACAAATCGCAATATCCAACTATAACACTATATTTTGTAGATAGGGTAATCCATGAATATTTTTAGCCGAAATAGCTCAATATTTTCTAGATACATCTAAAGAAGAGGTGAAAGGACGGGTCACATTGCTTGGTTTTTATGCTGCATTTTTGAGAGTTGCCGGTTTAAAAATCGACTTTCCCACAAATGCAATGTTCCAATAAGATTATATATTTAGATAAGACTTACTGGTATCCTGTCAGGATATTCAACAAAGATGTTTTCCCAGCTCCTGATGGCCCCATGATGACTGTCAGTTCTCCTGAGACGAACTTTCCCGATACACCTCTGATGATCTGCTTTACACCTGGAACAAATGAGAAGTGGCGTCAAAACAGGGCTATAAGTCTAAAAAAATCACTACTTTTAAGGTCTGGAAAACTAACTGCGCTTAACTAAAACTTATGCTAACGCCCTTGCTACGATCCTATGATCTTTTGTAGTAGTTCTTTTAGTCACTTCAACAGAAGTCAACGTTCAGCACCATAACGGAAACAATTTTGAAGTCAAAATTGATTCCTGTGGAACACCTACCCTGGCGTTATGAGATAAAGAGAAGAACCCATCGTGCTATAAATTACGATGGAAAGGTAATCGATCACCTATACGCACACGAAAGCAATGTCCGGAGACTCTAAAAGTTACTAAATATCTGATGCCACCTAACAATCTTACATAGATCGACAGATATTGGTTTCTGGCGGGTAGCGAGAAAATTACAGGAATAATTTTTGTAAGTTGCCGATCAAGCTAGGTTGAAAATGGCTTTAAAGTAGACCATGTCTAAAATACTCTTCGGATGCTTGTAGAAGGATTGAGATTTAATGCTTGGCAACATTAAAAATTTAGATCTGTAATCGAGTTTTCAAACTTGAAGATGCCCATTTTTAGGGCCTTTCTGACATTGAATTGCTAATAACTCTAAAACAGTCATCTTTAGAGAAAACTTGCTAGCAATCTTTTTTGTTCTGCTAAGAAAACAGAAGGAACCATCTTTTTGGCGCGAAGATCTCCTACCAGGGTGCATAATGAAATTTGGGGAAATACGGGTCTCGATGTAGAAGTAGGCGTGGTAACCGATTTGAAAGTTAATGCTCTTTAGGTATCCAAGTATCTAAATTGGAGTTCAAACTTTACTCCACAAGAGCCAAAGAAGTATTTTAGGCTCAACTGACCTAAAACTTTATTTCTGCTTGGTAGGCTAAGAAGAGGCCATCTATTGGTTTTCATAGACTGTACATCAGTCTCACTCACACATACATCTGCGCGCACGATTGTTTATACAGGGTGCTTATTTGAAAACGTCCTACTGATTAAAAGAAAAAATGTCGAAACACGTCAAAAGATCTGTCAAGGGCGACAAGTTTTTAACCAAAAACTACTTCACCACGTTTCACCTTCGGCTCCTTAGGGTCATTCCCTTTCGAAGTCCTTAATTTTGTCGTTTGATTTTTCAGTTGATTTGTTCTCGAGAAAATTAGAAAAATCTTTATTTATCTTAATTTGTTCAGGTCGGAAACAAAAATTCACGAAAATATCACTTTTTATTTCAATAAGTGTTCAAAATGTTGCTGCTTTGAGGATCCGCTTGTCCTGTATGCAGTTTCCCTTGGGGTAATTTAGCTATGTACATGGTACCATTTGTCAATCTGTTTGCTGCAAAAACTGTCAAAAGAAATATAGGAACAATTTATCTCAAGCAGTAGTAATGTTTATTTTTGAATGAAATTATTAATTAGTTTGACAATACGAGTTACCCGCCCTGACCTAGAGATGGCGATAGTTGTTTGAAATATATAATTGTATTAGAAAGTATGCAACCTACAAAGCATATGTGTCAAGTTTGAAGACGCCTCGTTGTTTAGTATTTGTTTGGCAGCCATCAATACTGAACGTTTTCAGTGAATTTGTGAAAATGGAGAAAATTGGTCATCGTTATGTGGTACAATACTTTGATTTCAAAAGCCTCAGTCCACCAAATATAAAAGCTGAACTGGTTCTACTCTGGGTGAGTCTGCTCCTTCGTTAACAACAGTAAAATATTTCGTAGCAGAGTTTAAACGAGACCGTATGAGCTGCCAAGATGAGCATCGCAGTGGTCGATCAGATCAGGTGACTACTCCAGAAATGGTGAAGAAAATTCACAAAGCGGTCCTGAATGATCGTCGACTGAAAGTGCGCGAGCTAGCAGACATGTAGGCATTTCAAAAAGTGCGGTTCATCGCATATTGTCTGGAAATTTGGACATGAGAAATCGAGCAAAAACAGTGTCGTGGAGATGTTTCAATTGAGTGTTTAGCGAAGTTTCACAGCAACAAAGCAGAATTTTTGAGTCGTTTCATAACCATGGATGAAACATGGATCCACCAGTTCACACCCGAGATAAAAGAACAATCAAAACAACGGACTCAAAAGGGACAACCGGCTCCAAAGAAGGCGAAGACCGGTTCATCAGGTTATGGCGTCGGTTTTTGGGATGCGCGTGGGATAATTTTCAATGACTATCTTATGCGAACTTATTGCAACGTTTGAGCAATGAAATCAAGCAAAAACGTCCGCATTTGGTTAAGAAGAAAGTGTTGTTTCATCAAGACAATGCACCAGCTTACAATTCCGTTATTGCAATGGCCAAAATTAACGAATTAAAGTTTGAATTGCTACCTCATGCACTCTATTCACCAGATTTAGCCCCCTCGGACTATTTTCTGTTTCCAAACTTGAAAAAATGGCTCAGTGGTCAAAGATTTTCCAACGATGAATAAGTGATCTCGGCAGTTAATAGCTATTCGGGTACTTCTGGGACCACCCTCGTACATGTAGTCAGGCTACAAATAAACATACACTATCCGCCAAAGTCAAAGATATATATATATATATATATATATATTGAGATATCTTGTGCATAATCAAAATATTTAGTAATGGTTTGAAACAATAAGTGTCGCATGGAGATGGTTAAATAAAATGTTTACAAAGAAGCAGGTGAATTAAATGTACATAGTAAAAAGCAAGAAAATGAATAAAGATGTTTACAAAGTGAGGCAACTGATTAAACTAACACTACTGCAAAAGCTCGAGGCAGTAACAGGATCTGCTGATTTACTTTCTTTTTGAATACCTTTCTTGTTTCTAGCGCTTGTAAACTCTCCGGAATAAATTCATAAGTTCTAGGTACTAGATAGTTAAAATGACCTCAGGCCAATTGTTTTGTGCGCCGGGGAATTACAACGTTGTTAGGTTTGAGCCTTGTGTTATACTGATACGAGACTTCCTTGTGTGTGTTTATAGGGATTGGAGGAGCGCGAGTAGTATATTTAATGATCAGATCTTATGTATACAGGGTTTGTCCGGAAAATAGTAGGACTCATTTTCTTCCGCCATGACTGTACTTCGGAGCGTGCGCACACCGACTGGATTCGGTAGAGGGCGTTCCTAGCTAACAAATGAGCGGCTGGTCAGTTGTCTCCGAGCACTTGGAGAGTCAGGACAGGCATTTTCGCGCGACGTGTTTCTGTGAGTGGTGCAAGCCGAAAATGCAGCGTTCGTTAGAGCAGAGGTACGCGATTAAATTCTGTGTGAAACTCGGTAAATCTGCGACAGAGACGTTTGATATGATCAAGCAGGCTTACCCAGGTGTTGCTTTAGCAAGAAGTGGTGAGTTTCTGTGGCACCAGGCCTTTTTGGAGGGCCGGGAAGAGGTCGCTGATGAAGACCATGCTGGAAGACCTTCGACTTCGACAAACACCGATAATATGACTCATGTGCGCAAAGTTTTGAACTCAGACCGTCGACTAAGTATTCGTTTAATTGCCCAGATGTTAAATTTACCAAAATCTGTGTTTCATGACATTGTGACACAGCAGATGGTCCCAAAAGTGCTCACTGATGACCAGAAATTGCAGCGAGTGGAAGTGTGCCAATAAAATTTCAACATGTGTGAAAGTGACCCCCAATTTTTCACAGGTGACGAGTCATGGATCTTTGAGTATGATTCCGAGACAAACAATCTTCCGAATGACAACCGACGGCGTCTCCTCGCCCAAAAAAGGGAAGAATGAGCAAATCCAAATTGAAAACGATGCTCATTGTCTTTTTTGACATCAAAGGCATTGTCCGCCATGAATTTGTTCCTCCTGGACAAACCGTCAACGCCAAGTTTTGCGTGGAAGTGCTCAGGAGACTCAAACGAAGGGTCAGTCGGGTCCGACAAGACATCGCAGCCGACTGGAAGTTGCACCACGACAACGCCCCGGCTCACACCGCCTTCCTTGTGAACAGCTACCTGACCAAGGCCGGCATCCCAACGCTTGCGCAGCCGACCTACAGCCCAGATGTGCCACCCCCCCCCCCCGGACTTTTTTTGTTTCCTTGCCTGAAAAGGCCGATGAAAGGCAAGCATTTTGGGACGACAGAGGGGATCCAAGCAGCATGCAAAAGAATTGTAACGTTTGGCTCAGTACATTTTTTTAAATCGACTCAGTCCTATCACTTTCCGGACAAACCCTGTACGTTAGTGGCTCGGCCATATGCTTTTATACCGTAAGTCAGATGCAGATATAGTAATAAGTTCGAAGTACCACGCACGGTATTTTCTTCGCGTGTGACGTGAGACACAAAAATTCATGTGAGAAAACAGAGATAACGTTGCACTGGCAACTGGCAGTGAAAGTTCAACAAAACATCTGAATTTCTAATGTATAGAACCATTAAAACTGGTATTAAAACTAGTAAGGCAACAGATGCTTTATACTAACATCATCGAATATAAACGTTTTTGATAACGAATATAATCGCTTGTTTACCAAACAGAGTTTTGATTGTGATAAGGGCAGCTGATGAAGTGTACATGAACGTGACCGTTCTCAGGTCAGATACCATTAGTGCCGCATGTCAAGGCGATTCGCGAATTTTCATATCATATCAATTATTTTTCTTGCAGTGGAGGTCCAGCCCGCGATGCTTGTGATTGGTGGACAAATTACGAAAAATAACGTAGCCAAAATAAAATGTGATTTTTGCCTCAAAATACAAGAAAGTATTTTTATCCTACTCAAATAACTCAAAATAAAGGCTTAAAGTCGGATCATCAGGTCCGCTAAGGTGTTCAGGAGAGCTGTTTATGTGTCTTTTGGAACGGCAATGTCTTCTTCTAAGGACAGTATCGTCAGTCGTTCCAACAACTGTAGGATGCCTTTATGGCCTCCTTGATTTTCATTGTGTTTCCTGTCATCCAGAAAGGCAGGGGAATTTATAGATCCGCTCTATTTTTTCAGACTGATGAAACTTGATTTTTATCATCTGGATATAACTTTCGTTTAATTTCTGCGCTTTCGATGGCCATTGACTTGAACCGTTCCAGGTACAAGTTAGCCACGACTGGAGACAATGGTGATCCCATGGCAGTCTTTCTTCTTGTACATAAAGTAGTTACTTTTCAAACAGAATGTTAACAAATTCATCATTCCCTCAAGTGGCAGGTTCGTTCCATTTTCTAGCTCCGGATCTTCACTCAGTTTTTAATCGATTACCCGTAAGGCCTCTGCTATGGAAACGTTGGTGTATAGGCTTTCAATGTCGAAACTAACGAGTCGATCTTCTGGGCAATCCAGGCGCGGATTTATATTTTTTATTCAATACAAAATAACAGAATTATTATAATTTGAATCCGAGTCTTGCTTTTCGTTCAGCAGAATCCAAATTGAGTGTATTAGCTACTGATCTTTCGATATAGAGATTAGAGAGGTGTGTCTTTAGCCAAAGAAGCTCGACGGTCTTCTTTAATAATTTTCAAAGAGCTCATGACACGTTCAACACCAGCTGAACCGTTAGGCAAAGTCAAAAACAAACTGAATAAACCATCTACAAAATTGTTTGCAATAATGAACTTCAAATAATCTAGCGGACTGTCATTAGTAAAATTACGATTTTCCAAAAAATACATGCTCGTAAAACTGGCTAATTCATATTTTAGATCTGTAGTGAAAAATTCCTAATATTTTCCGATCAAATTAGTGTCGCTGATTTCTAATTCGTCACATCATTCACTTCACGAAATCCTTCAGTATGTTCTTGCAATTCGTTACTCATTGAATCCAAAACTTGGTAGTAACGTATTCGTTGTTTTTCGTGTGTTTCCAGTGGCGAGTCAGCAGCTTTTTCGGCGAAAATTTTTTGATTTTCCTCTTTCTGACAATAGGAAAACCCAGCCTTCAGAACAAAATTATCGTATCTGCTTTCGCTCCTCGAATCTTTTAATTTTTTTAATGCTGCTGAAATTCACCTTTGAACTATCATCAAGTCTCTTTCTTTCTTTTGCATTTGAACTTGCACGGTATTCATCACGCTCAATACTAAATGCCACCATAACAAATTGAAAAAAAAGGTCCAGTTCATGGAGGAAAGGAGAGATGTTGCATTCGTTATATCTTCTTGAAATTGATAATACATTCAAAAAATTGCTTCCACGATATTATCACGAAGAAAATAGATGTCATCAAATAAAAAAATGCACAGTATTGTGAAAGTTTATGGTTTTTTTGAAGACGCGAAAAGACTGTAATAGACGCATTAGAGTCTTTACTAGACTAAAAGAGGCTGATTCATACCAAGAAGATATTTATTTACTGAACATTATACAGGTAATAATATATCACTGTAGCACAAAATGAAAAAATAACCCCCCCACTCCTTGAGCAATAAAAGGATCATTCAGTCATTTTTTTCAGAAATGAAATAGTATTAGAAATTTTCTTATTCAAACTGGCTGCTAACGCGCTGTTTCATAAACACTACGCAGATGGTCATTAAAAGAATATAACACCACTCTGATTTCTTGTTATCAATTTTTCATTCAGACGCGCTGAACAATATATATACTAGAGCTGATTTTTGCTGGGGGGCCCTGTAACCACCCTTCCTTAGGGGGGTCAGGCGGCAATGTCCATTTTGCCATTACTTAAATCTGCAAAAGGAGATGGTAAGTATTAAATATTAATCGATTCGCAGGAAGACAAAAAAGAAGAATTAATTTTGTTATTTAACAATAAATTGTTCATTTTTAAATTAGATTTAATACTTTAATCACTTTTACGCTGTACCCTAAGGGTACAAGGGTACGGTTGTCATCTGCGGTTTTTAATTTTTATGCCAGAGGCACTGATGTACCCCCCCCCCCCTCCCCCCCAGACACAAATATGTCGAAGCGAAATTTCCTTCTTGTGTATTGGTGTGTGGTGTCAAAGTCGCTCTTTCCTTGTCGAGATATATCCTTCGTACCTTCTCAATTTTCGATATAGCTGTCCCTCGATCTTCTGTGTTGGGTCGTTTGTAATTTCCTTTCGCCAATTCTTCATCCAATTATTTGTGATATGTCATAGTATCTATGACGACTATTGGATTGCCTTTGTCTGCTGGAAGACTGTTTTCATGAGCTCGCTGCACATATTATAACCCAACTTCAAAGTTATTCGTTAAGTTCTCAATGTAGTGTGTTGCGTATAAACCAGAAAATCGATCAACTGCAACAAAGGCATCAATTCAATCCAAATCTTTAATTACAATTAACATTATCTTGGAAACTGCAAAAGTCAACTTGCCTTGAACATTCTGTCTTTAACAAAAAAAAAGTCAAAGACCTGATAGGTTGGCAACGTCAATTATTTACCAAAACCCAACCATTTGAATACATTTTCTGTCCAAAATCGTTTATTTTCAACGCTTCTCACAGAATGTCTCAAAAGCGCCATGCTCTGAAGAATTTTGATATGAATAGATTAAAAGGTCCATAACCATAAACAAAATGGTATGCTCGAATGATGTAAGGTGATTAGCAGGCACTCAGATTCGACTGGTTCTGACGTCTCTTAACAACGGCCTCTCCGAAAACACAAGCAAGTTTTCAAGAGAAACGTGTTGAACCTTTTGCTGATTGCGAAAAAATTCTTGGAATAAGAAACACTATCATTTCGCAACTGTACGTCATGTTATTATTTTCTCCCTTGAAAGTGGACATATTTTTCTTGTAGCACGTGCGTATTTTTCCGTATATGTACGCACATTTTGAATCCATATTATCTTATGTTAACGTTCTGGCAAGTTGCAAAATATATATACATGTCGTGTGGCAACGATATCGTTCTTCTTTACATATCTAGTGCAAAAATTACTTATTATTATATACATGATGAGTTTTAATGTGGGCTCGCTCGATAGTTCCGTTATTACGGATGTTACGTGAAAAACATTATAGCCAGCAAGCTCTTTACTTAGAAAAAAATTATATCCCTACAGATTGATTTATAGCTACGTGGTGACCCAAACGTGCAGTTTTTAAATTAAAAGCCCTTCCTTTTATTGCAGTTTTGAATAAGCCCTTTTAAACGAAATGATTTAATATGGCCTGTTTTAAAATTGTAGAGTTATTGGATAAATAATCCATCGAAATAAAAACAGCCAACCTTGACAACTCACACGTCTTCAGCTATTATAGCTAGATTACTGAATTTTCCACTAGACAAATTTCATGATCTAGTATGATTAGACTACTATCCAAATATGCAATAAAATGTAGGGCTTTCTATTTAAAAGGTTGTATGCTTGGGTCACGACGTAGGCGTAGTCACGAATCAGTCTGTACATCAACAAACAACCCTAAACACATATCCGGTTATCGTTGATGGCCGAGCTTTGTCAAGAAGTTTGGTTTGGCTCGTCGAATTTCAGGTTGTTAGAGACATGATCGAGCACGAAAACGTCTCATCAATCGCAGCAAAGAAGCTGGATTAGAAGCTTAGAGCCAAGTATCATATTATCCCCAATCTGACATGCTCTACAAAATCTGACTAAGCAATGACATTTTCTTAACAGGCAGCCTCAAGCCTCTCGCTCTCTTTCTCTCTCTCTCTGTGTCTCTATCTATCTTTCGGGATATGGGATCTGCATGGATTTTAAAGTTTTGAAAATTTCAATCGTTTATTCTGATCATGTCTGGTCAACCCAACTAAGAGCTAGAAATATCCTATAAGGTTTGTCGATAGTCTGACGTTCAGTTAAAGTAATTGCCAGCATGTAAATCACCACAATTAGTGTCATACAAAGATATTCATAAATCTTGACAGCTATTCGCTTTACGATGAAATGCGTATTAATTTCCATTTCATATGTAAATTTGCAGATCACTAATTGTCGCCAGATTCAATATTTAAATTATCATCGGCAAATTTAATATGTCATCAATTATAACTCTCGAATAAACATAATGATTACCTATCTATCGTCAGACAATTATACTTCGTTATACAGGGTGACGTGCAATATGTCTACATCCCGTATTCATGTACATATATCAAGCAATGTCCTAAGGAAGAGTGGTCAGGTCCTAAGATCTATTACCAAATGTTGCAGACTAAGAAAGGAGTTGCTTCGATCAGTCTGTATGTCTGTCCCCAAATCCTTGGACTGTTTATAACTACCGAAGTATCGCTTGTATTTCGAAAAAAATTCCACACAAGGTTACTACTATGCCAAGGACCAAAAAGCTTTGTGGTTTCTGAAAATCGATCCAGTGGTGGCAAAGCTTGGGGAAAAAATACGAGGAATATAAATTGCTCATATTTCGTTTTTTGACGGCTCCTTATCATTTTCAAAAAAATTTATGTACGTTGAAGTTGGAAGTTCTAGGGAGTATCTCTTATTTTTTTTCGGCAGTATAGTTACATGCTTCCAACATTTGCTCTTAAAAGTTTTATTTACGGACGCGACGCGTTTGGTCAGAACGACTCGGCGACTCATATGCGGGACTGTCATACCTTGTATACCCTGTATACTGGACAATTAATTGAAGAGGTATATTTTTGTTGTGAACTTAAATTCAATGAGTTGGACCTTCACTATCTCGGAGAGTATGTACATAGGTGTCATCTTAACAAGGTAGGAAATTTTATGAAACGACAAAACGTTCATATTAAGTGCTATTGTATGTTGGATAAATACGAAGTCTGAATACGATTTAAATTGCATTCGGGTTTCCTAGAAAATTATACGTGTGATAATTATAACTCGTAGTATACTGGTTGAAACCGGTGATATCATCGTAGTACCTTCTTATCGATATAACAGATATTAATTAGTGACACATATTATTATTCCATGCATTTCCGCTCGCAAATGACTCGGTATTTTCCACCTAAACATCCATTTATTAGAAACCCATGACCCAAGGAAATATATGTTCTGTATCAGCCGTATCAATTATGGTATATGGGACGCCAGCTTTCTAGGACCCCGACGTGTGAAAAAAATTAGTAAAGGGTGATTTACAATCTCGTGCAAGTTTACGACAAACCATGAATTATCAAGCTCTAAGTCCTTGATCCTAAGAATTACCATTTCAAATAAATATAAATGAATAAGGTTTTCGAAATCAAAAGAGAATAAATCATGTTAGGACTTCTATAAGGCGCCTTCTATAAGACAACTGTGATTATCAGACTTGCTACTGTCTTCAGAGACAACAAATATTGAAACATTGAACTTCAATAATGGATGATTTAATAAAAAAGATTCCGAAAAAAATAATGTCATGTAAATGTACTATGTACTTCCCATTCACTCATATTATGCCTATTTCAGAACAAAAATAAATGTTGAAGCTCCATAATAATCTGAAACGACGAAAGCATATTTTCGAAATTTTTCTAAACCGATCACGACGAAAAATTTTCAGGCCGCAAACCATACAAAAACAAATTTTCCTAACAATATGAAGCAATTTAGTTTTGTGCTCATAATACCGCTACCATTTATACGATTCTTAAAGGTGAAGTAGTATTACCTACTATGAACCCACAGCATGCTACTCTCCTTTCATCCAAAACAGCACAGATTACGAGAGTAGAATAAGCCAATATACAAACAAACCGATAGATGTTGTAGACATCGTAAAACGTGAAATTCTGAAATTTTCGCAATCACATTACTACCCTTCCTTATGCCTAGGTTCTTACCTAACTTTGATCGTTATTGTAAAAAATCAATATTTATACCTCGGAATGTAACTTCTATTTGAGATTACCCACAATTTGGTGGGGTCCACTGATAAATTGCGATATAGGGCACTTCATTATTACTGAAAGTGTAATTTGTTGAATAAACTTTAACAATTAAAAAGCATTGTAGGAGAGACATTGACGTCAAATGGCTACACAGATTATATTCGTATATGAAGAATCCTAGAACGACTACAAACACGATAGGTTTGTGTAAAACAGACAATTCACAGTACATTAGCTTTTGAATATATCTATTTTTATTTTTATTTTAACAAAAGGACCATCATACCAAATATCTAGTTTTCTTTATGTAAGTGTAATCAAATCTAACTTTCTTAAACGATACCGGATAGAACACGAGTAACACTTGATCAAGGCAGTCACGTGCAGAGATCTCAATTGTTTTGATTTATCATATCGGAATGTTTATATTTAATACCTATATCAAGTTAATTATTGAGATATTGTGAAGCTAATTGTGTCATGTCAGCCCAGTCATATGTAAAAGATAATTCCACTATTATGTCAGACAAAACAACCACATGTAACTCAAATTTACATAATCGATGCATTTTGTACGTGGAAACGACATAAAAAATTGCAGGTTGTTTGGAAGAATTGTAGGACAAAATAATAGATTTATGTTAAATATTCTTGAACAAAATGCATGTTTTTTAACAAATCGTACCATTTCCCATGCCACTTCTAATAGAGCTCTATGTGTTCCTAGTCGAATAAAACGGTGGATTGTTATCAGTAGAAAGTAATTTCTAAAATGTGATTTCATGTGGCCAGAAAAACACGGAGCTAGCGGAGTTCTATTAGCATTAGAGCCACAGATGTTAGGTACATTCACAATCTTTAATCTTTATGTGCATATAAATCCATCTAAGGATAAGTTGGATAGGCTTAAACTCACTTGAGATATGCTTTAAGAAACCCTATAAGGCTGCAGAAAAGGCTACAGATTATTATTGATACACTAAAAATGATACTCTCTTGACTACATTCTGGCAGTGTCATCTGAAGGAAACTGTTCTCACTAAACCCCCATGAGCGATAATCTCTTGATAGGAAACGGGACTTATCAACCACAATCATCAATTATCACTGCTACTATACAACACCATTTCATACTCTTCCAACGAATGTTGGATTTTGTACAGAAGTGTTTTTCCGTTATCCCGACATTTAAAATAAGGAAAATGTTTTATTAGCTCTTGCTATTGGAAATCTAGAAAGCGCAAAAGAACTTATACTGGAAATTAGATTAGCCCAAATTTAGTTTAAATTTTGGGCTGAGATGCCTACGGTTTAGTTTCTTATGCATTGGTTATTTACTATCAAAATATCGAATCGTTTGTTGCAAGGTTATTGACTGCTCTATCAAGCCGAATAGGGGATGTAGCAGCTTTAATATCTAAATATTTTTACTAAGGAAACATGTAAAATGTGCTAATCTTCTATTC